GACCTATTCCTGCGTCGGCGTCTATCAGAACGGCAAAGTCGAGATCGTCGCCAACTCTGAAGGCAACAAGACGACGCCTTCCTACGTCGCCTTCACCGACACCGAAAGACTCGTCGGAGACGCCGCTCTGCGACCAGGCCGCCAGAAACCCGGAGAACACCGTCTTCGACGCCCAAACGACTCATCGGCCGTCGGTTCGACCGAATCCAGCAGTCCAGGCCGACCTCAGACATCTTCCGTTCGCTGCGACTACAGCCGCGCCGGCAGAGCTAGTCATCCAAGCCGAAGTCAAAGGGCGAACGGAGCGACCTTCAACCCCGAGGAGATCCAGTGCGATGGTGCTCTCGGCAAGATGAAGGAGAGACTGCGGAGACGTGCTGGGCCATCAAGTCCGCGACGCCGTCATCCCACAGTCCCTCGCCTACTTCAACGACAGCCAGAGACAGGCCACCAAAGGACGCTGCCACGATCGCCGGCCCTCAGCGCCATCCGAATCATCAACGAGCCGACTGCCGCCGCTCTGCGCCTATCGGCCTCGACACAGAACCTCGTCGGCGAGAACGTCCTACATCTTCGACCTCGGTGGAGTGCGCCTTCGACGTCTCCGTCCTCACCATCGCCGAAGGATCTCTCTTCGAAGTCAAGTCTACGGCTGGAGACACTCATCTCGGAGGAGAAGACTTTGACCAGCGGATGGTCGACTCGCCGCTGCCGAGTTCAAACGCAAGACCGGCAGGACATCAGCAAGAACCGCAGAGCGATGCGACGTCTCGAAACCGCCTGCGAACGTGCCAAGAGGACGTTGAGCAGCTCCGCCGAAAACCATGGTCGAAGTGGACTCTCTCTCCATGAAAGGCGTCGACCTCTGCTCCAAGATCACTCGTGCTCGTTTTGAAGAGCTTCCTGCTCCGACCTCTTCCGCAAGACTCTGGAGCCGGTGGAAGGCTCTTCGCGACGCCAAGCTCGACAAGTCCAAGATCGATGAAGTCGTGCTCGTTGGAGGCTCGACTCGTGTGCCGAAGATCCAGAAGCTGCTCAAGGAGTTCTTCAGCGGCAAAGGAGCTCAACGGTTCCATCAATCCTGACGAAGCCGTCGCCTACGGAGCAGCCGTCCAAGCCGCAGTCCTCTGGAGTCCAGGACCAGGCCATCAAAGACGTCCTTCTTGTCGACGTCGCTCCTCTCAGCCTCGGCATCGAAAACTGCTGGAGGCGTCACGACTAACCTCACTCGACCGCAACTCTACGATTCCCTGCCGTGCCACGAAGACCTTCTCTACCTACGCCGACAACCAGCCAGGCGTTTTCGATCCAAGTCTTCGAAGGAGAGCGCGCCATGACTCGCGACAACCACCGGCTGGGCCTCGAGCTCTCCGAGCATTCCTCCAGCTCCTCGCGGAGTCCCGCAGATCGACGTCACCTTCGACATCGACGCCAACGGCATCCTGAACGTCTCCGCCCAGGACAAGTCGACCGGCAGCAGAACCGAATCACGATCGCAACGAGAAGGCTGTTCCTCCCAGGCCGACATCGACCGTCCTGTCGCCGAGGCCAAGCGAGTGCCTGAGCGAGAAGACGTGTCGCAACGCGCGAACGAGTCCAAGCCTGCGCAACTCGCCTCGAGGCCCAGCGCCTTCCAGGTGAAGCTTGCAGGCCCTGGACGATGCACGGCAGCCGGTTGCCGGCCGATGACGTGAGTCGCGTCCGCGCGACGCTTGCGAGGAGATCGCTCCCGCTGGCTCGACGCCAACAGCCTCGCCGGAACGCGAAGAGATCGAGTGCTCGCGACAAGCGAACCTCAGCGGCGTCTGTCAGTCGCCATGGCGACGCAGCTCCACCAGCAAGTCGTCGCAGCAGTCGCAGGGCTCCTGCGGACTCCTGCGGCGCCGCCGGCTTCCTCCAACGCCAACTACCTCCTGCTGGACCGACCGTCGAGGGAGTGGGTCGACCTTAACTTGCTAATTCGATAAATTATTGTTCAATTGTACATTTTCGTTGTATTCTCTACAGCTGTACTCGGGTTTCTGTTGCCTTTAATAAATCCAAGCTTTGAAAAGAGAAACGTGTTCTTTGTTCACATTGAAATGAAAGAAACCTGAAAATTCTGGATTGATTCTCTGATGGGCCGGCAACCTCTTTCATGATATCTCGAAATCTCCCTTTGATCCTCGCTGACTTCATCTTTGGCCACTTCCCTTCCTTGAGTTCCTTCATTTTTGAGCCGACCTGACAATAATTCTAAATGATTTGAAAAATGAAAATGAGGACTAAAAACATGAGCAGATACGATTATGGCGATGTGGATTATGGCGCATTGCCAGCCAAACGCTATTTTCGCCCAAACACTTTGTACGGGTAGCATCTAATTTTCAGTGTATTTGAACCTCCTTTTTGACTCCTCATCATTAGTATAGACGCCTTCGTCTCAGAGTTATTAAATCTTTGAGCCATGGCCTGGTAAGTCATGGCCTCGTGGAGAAGAGGTGTGCTGAAATTGAATCCGCGGTTCGTGGAAAGTTCGACTGCTTCCTCTTTTCTTTTTGAGACCCATTTTGTTGGAATCTTGAGGAGCTCTAGAAGCATGAGATATCTATTCAAAATTTAAAGTTACTCATTGATTTCTGATCTTCAAACTTTCAGAAGAAATTGTGTGAGAGAGACTTGAAATAGTAATTGAATTTGGACCCAATCAATACGAATCGGAATTTGTGCCTGCAAAGAGATTAAAAAGGGTCCAATATTCAACTTTATCGAAATGAATCGAGTCCAGTAAAACAAACCAACGATAATCAGTTGGCTTCTGGATTTTCGTAGCCTTTTCATATTTGCAGTCTTTTGTAATTTCCTGAAGCTTTTCCTCGATTTGAATACACATAACTCAATGTTATTATCGCACAATCGGCGGCATCTGGAATTTTTGGTACTTTAGTAAAGGCGCCAAGAGGGTCTTGAAACTAACATTGTGCTTTTAAAACTCAAGAAAGCCTTCTCAATTTTTATGAAGAAACTGAAAGAAATAGAGGGGTCCAGCCATGATTGGAACTGGTTAATAAAGTTAAAATTGACTCGCCCATTAAATACTTTGAACGGAGATTAAATCATTCCTTTCGAAACGGTACTTCATTTCGAATACTTCTCCTTACTATCTCCAAGGTAAAAAGAGAAAAATTAACTTTCCAGGCTTTTGACCATGATGAAAAAGAACATTTTTCTGAAAAATCTGAATATCTAAGACGGTCAAGAAATTTATTTTTCACAATCCTGATCTGAATTTGTTCGAAAATGCACGATCTTTCGGTAGAGTTTCTTTTCCATTATTTCAGAGACAAGATGTATGGAATTTTTCTGGTAGAAATGAAACTTCTCCATCGTATGGTCAAGCTTTCTTTCTTCATTATTCCGGAAGTCCTATATAGGCGCATGAAGACAAATCTCGCGTTAGTACCCTTTTGTGTCATTTTCTGCGCCTTTAAAGATTTCTGTCATCCGATTATGACAAAACACAACCTGATGGCCGGATATTCCTCCAACGAAACACACAAAGTCGCAACCCAGTCTCGGCCATTTTTCCAAAGTTTCTCATCAAATTTCGGAGCTCGATATTTCGGGACCGTTGACTACCAAAGAACGACGGAAAGACTTCCAGTAAATTCAAGCGAGAAAACCTGAGAAATTTGTCATAAGGGTGTAAATAATCTCGTGTAAACTTGGTTTCAACGTGGGTAGAAACGCCAAATTGATTTCTTTTTAGCGTTTTGACGAAGCTTGAAACGCGGCTGGAAAATTATTGTATTATAAATACTCATTCTTGCGTAAAGGCGCGGGCCCCAAATGACTGATGGCTCTTCTTCTCGAGACCTTTATCTCTCGCGCCTTTGAAACAACACAGCAAGAAATTTATAACCTTTGAGCCAATTTTCGGTAAATAAAGTGTCCGAACAAGGTGCCGTGGATGTGAGCTTTTTGTACTTGGCACATCGGGTGGAAATCGTCATTTATTACTATCCTGAAAATGAAAATTTTCACATATTTCTCAAGTTTGACGTGAAGAAAATCCTCACTGATCTCTTTTGTGTCTATTTGTTTGAAAAGGAACTTTTTAAATATACTGATTTCACGATTTTTGCAGCAGTGATTCAACTTCATCGAACGTTTCTTACAGTTAATGAAAATAAAACTTTTCTTATAGAGTTCTTGAAGCTTTCAGATTAAAATCGTCTCTTGAAACACATTTTTCATTGAATTCAATTCTTTGAACGCTTCAACCTTTAAATTGAAATCTAGAAATTTCTTTAACGATGTTGGAAGAACTCTTCTGCATGAGATTTTCTTCCAAATGTTTCAACACGAAACCGATTCAGCCGTTGGTGAGACTAAACAAATAACGTCCAAATTGAATCGGCTGCCGTAGTGCAAATCCTCCACTGTTGAAATATTTTCTGAAACTTCAAAATGAATCTCTCCAGATTTTCATTTGTGCGGAACCGCCAGTCAAATTGCTCATTTTCAAGCAACAAGAAACCATTTTCGAAGAAAATTTGTCCAAAAACCAGTCACATTCCATTGCTGTTTCCATTTTCGTCCGTTTTTAATGGTCGGATGACATCCTCAAAGATTTCTGAAGAGATTTCGACCGGATTAACGCAGAAAAGTTGTCTGAAAACGTACTTTCGCTTACCAGGCTCGGTAGAAGCGGCATCAGTAAACAGCGTTAAGTCGAGTGTGTGTAGGAAGGAAACAATCGAGTGAACAGAACACAAAAATGGTATTTCTGAAACTTCTGTTTTCAGAAGTCTGTACAAAGTAGTCTATTTTTATCCCAAACATTTTCTTGACATGAGACACGAAGAATCAAATCCACATTTGTATATATTTTCTGAGGACGTTTAAACGCTTCTGAAAACTAGTCTCTCAAATTGTTTTCACTTTGAATGTTCTGAAATAAGAACTGAAATCACCCAATGCCCGTTCTTTTCTATTTCTATGCATAACTTTCTCTCTCACGAGTGTCGTCCAATATGAACCGATATCCGTTGAACTTATTAATACGAGAAACCAAAAGAAAACATTAAAATCGGGAAAAGCAAAAGGAAAAGTGACTTTTATAACTGCTGGCAAAAATGATTGGCCTGGAATTTTCCATCCAAGACCGTTCCTCCAATTCACTTATCTTTCAGGATAATAAAGTCGGAACAAAATTATTGAAAAAGTCGTGAGATAAATGTTAACGCCGCATCTGGTGAAGCATTCACAGTAGAGTGTAGATTACAGGCACAGGGAAAGCGAATATCGCATTTATTTTGTCACGGACTTTCGAGTCAAAAGTACATTTATTGAAGTGGGAAACTTTAAGCGTTTTTCGGTTGGGTGCGAGGTTCACAGATTGTCTCAAACGGGGAGCTCCTGATCGGGTCGTTCCTCTGAAAAATACAACAATATTTCTGACAAGTGTGATTATTTTCACCGAGTAGACATATGCTTTTCGGGAATGTCGAGAGCGCAGGCTTCCAAGGGATGGCGTGCGCATTTTCGTCGTCTTGACGTCTTTCTGCCTCTTTGGTTATCTGAGGAAGCTCTGGCGAAGTGTGTGTTTTTCATTGCAAAGCACATGGTCACAGTTTTACATTAGGACATCCTTAGGAGAGCTAGTTTCTTGGAATAAAAGTTCTAAAATTTTCCATCTCGACTCAAAACTCTGCCTCTAAGTTGCTCTTCAATGAATTTGTTTTTCAAAATCTCCTCCACTCACTGAAGTGCTTTCCAAGGGAGCTCATTTCTCTTAATTTTCGTGAAGTTTTGGGTGATTAGTAAAATCTTACGATGATAATCTGCTGGTAAATCTATAGACTCTCTGTTCATTCAACATTTTGTACAGACTCAGCAAAGGATTTTTAAGAGTAGCACTACATGAGATCTGCAACTGAAACTACGCTCTAATTTTCACTTCCGTGAGCTGAGACTTGTGGTTCGTTGGAAAGTGCCATTTCTAAAACTTATCATTGGTGCATTGACAACGCTCGGATTAGTTGTTGAAGACAATATCTTCCTGTGGAAAAGGCTGTCCTGGGCGCACAGTTCAGTCGTTGGCGCAGTGGGATCCCAGACAGCTATCCTGGGCCATGATTTTTATTTTCCGAATCTCTTCGATGCCTACATGAGTACTGGGGCATGGCGGGTTAGACCTAATCAGTACTGTGAGAACATCTCGGTCAAAAGTTCAGAATCGACTCTGGACCTCCTGTCAATGCTGCTGTCACGCCTTAAATGGACAAAATGTAAAAACTCGTATTTTTCGAAAGAGAAGCTTCACCTTAAATGTGCTATGAAGATGTTCTAGCATTTTTCTTTTTCTTTTCATGTGTACTGGAACGTTGTGAGTAGGAAATAACGCATCTTAGTGAAAAAGGTAAGGTCAAAATTTTTAAAACGTGCAGCTTTTCCGAAAGATCCCCAAAGTCCTGCTAGAGACACGGAAGTTTCATCTCGAAAACCTTGTAGGGCTCCTATCGCAAACTGGAACCGCTGAGCAAATTTTCGCAAAACTCTAAAACTTTCTGAGGCACATTTTAATGCATAGATTTGAACGTCAAAACTAGAAGAAACCAGTAGAAATTGGGGAAAATTCAGAAAATCAGTGCGTGCGACCCTGTGTGTGTTCTCAATTTGATAAGAATCATTTATTAATCAAATTAAAAGTCAGCAGGAAGCGAAAATCACGACATCTCTTTTATGAAGCGTTAATTTTATCATAATTTTCGGTAGGTCTCGATACCACGGTGTTCCAGCGCAATGATGCGAAATTTTGGGTCCCAGCGTAGATATTATCCGTGGCGCACTATTGCGCCCTTCCTCATGGCTTTCTGATGCAAAATTTCTAGTTCTTCACTCTGTCATTGAGTTTTCATGCCGTGATTCAAATGTTCTCATGAAATGCAAATGGTCTCTGACCCTCCAAAGTAAAGATTTAGTGATCGTTTTTCTTTCTCTGACGGCTATTTTGCACTCTCGCGGAATTACTTTTGAGACACGTACGTTTTCTCTATTTCTTGCATTTATGTGATCCGCCTCTCTAGTGGGTACATCTTGTGGAGCTTTTTAATTGCGCATTTTTTCTGAACTCGGTTTCAGATCTTTAACTATGAATCAGACCGGTATATACCGGTCTGATTCATGAGATACATAATCGTCTTTTTATTCCTAAATGAGTTTTTCTCAAGATTATCATAAATACCAAATCCTCGTCACTGGCTCCATGGTCTGGACAAAAAGCGATCGAAAAAGGTTCCAGAAACAGGATGCCATTGTTTTCGTTATTTCGCACACCCCAGCAGAAACTGTCCCTGTCGGCCACTCGTTCCTCCGTAGAGGCCTTTGAGTTGAAATCTATCAAAAAGGGATAAAACAAAGAAAATGTAGCCATGAAAAACTCAATAAAATACAAAAGAATGACCAAATTTTTCAATTTTCTACAAATAACTTCTGAAATTTTTGATCACAAACCGTCAACGCCTTAATTTTCTCATTCGCCTGCTTTTCTCTCTTCGGATCCCTCGTTTTTTGTTCCATCGCGTCATCCTGAAAAAAAAGGTCGTCTTCTAATCAAAATAACTTCTTTTTCTCACTGTTTTTGTCACACTCAATCTCAATGACCTGTTGGTACGCGGCATATCCAACAGTATCAAAGACTTGGGATCCGCCTGAATGAGAGATAAAACGATTTTTTCAGAAGTTTTTCTTTGAAAATCGAAGCAAACTTCTGTAACAGTTGGTTTTTCGGTCTTTTGCTTTCGCTCCTTGACCTTGACGACCATTTTATTCATAACTTCTTTGTGGAACCGCCGAAAACGACCAAAACGCATTGAGGTCACCTGAAAGTCCAGCTTTTCAGAGTATGGTAACCTTTAAAGTTGGTGCAAAAGGAAAATTCGACTTGAAATTTTCGCTCGGATTCAAAAAGAACAACTTTTCGTAAACTAATTTGAAAACATTTGATTTTTAGAAGAAAATTTTCAAAAAGATTTTGTAGCGCTGTCAGAAAATCACCGTGATCCCCAAAAGTCTGCTTTTCGCTGCTTGACATGACTGTTTTTCGTCGTGTCTTTTGTGTCTGAGGATGCTCCTGCCGAGCGTAGAGAGTTGCGCCTTTGAACGGACTGCGCTCCCGGTCCAAAACGACTGCCATTGCCCCTGGCTGAAGCTGGTGGCGGAGCCGAGCCGTTCGATATGTTGCTCAACGAGATCCCATCGGCGCCGCCTGATGGGAACCTCTGGAAAACGAAATTATGAGAACGAAATGAGACCGTTTTTACGAACACAGCGTGCTGACGACGCGAGGAGGACTGAATGCTGTGATTGTCTGATCGTTAGACAACGGCGCCGCCGCGTCTGTTTTGCTTCTTCTTGCGCATCTTCTGACGCTTTTCGTCTTGATAGCTGCACGACGTCGCCGTCGTGTCCTCCCAGATTGCAGATCATTCTGAAAATGGAAAAACTGTGTTAAATCTCGAGACGGTTTGAAGTCGGTGGTCTATATGGAAAGCGTTCGGAAACCTTTTTCGAATCACTCCGAAAATTTAATCACTTGGCGGAACTCCCTCGTCAGCCGTCAAGCTCACTTGAATAGAACAGATCGATCACGTAAGATTCATCAAAATCTTGCTATCTGATTGCTTATTTTTGATAAACTTTAGAATTGAAAACCGCTATAGCTCTCTATTAGATTTTCTAGCTAGAGATTTAGCGCAAGACGGTTGCGAGCTCGGCAGCTTCTCGCATGCGGTCCTGCGACATAGTACGTATAATACTGGATGAGTTTAGCGTATATCGCGAAATAACTTTGAACAACTAAAACGAAATTTTTTTGAAAAACGCAATTCTATAAAATGGAAAAACATTATTATATTCCAACATTCCAAGTTACGACATCGAAGAAATCTTTAATATTATCGAAACGAAAAATAAAACTTTTTCAAATTTTTTTAATTTATTATTGATTTTTTTGCTTCATTTTTGAATTTTTTTCTTTTTTTGGTTCATTTCTCGATTTTTCTCTATTTCTTATTGTAGAATTACTCTTCCTAATGTCTTTTTAATATTTATAAAAAAATGAAAAAAATGGATGAAGTCTTGGTTCAAACTTTTTTTAACGGAATATTGGAACACGGGTCTGTTTTTACGCTCTGAATTTGAAAACCTTTGGACTTGGATGCTCGAATTTGCTTCTTCTTTTTCGTACTTAATCCGCTCTCCTGTTGCCTTTCGCTCCGTGGTTTTAAACGTTTCTTAATTTGTACTTTTGAGAAGCTCAGCACAGATTTTTAACTTATCCCGTGTTCAATTTGATTTCGCGAAATGCAAAATACCCGTTAAAGAAAGGAAAAAATCACTCAATTTTGAAGAGTCAGAGCTCTGACTTTAGAGATCATTTTGCATTTCGCGAAATCAAATTGAACACGGCATTAAGACTCACAGATTCCATTATCATTTAAAGAAACGCGGAGCTTCGTTGGTTTCCAATGTTAGCAATAAACAGAAAACTCGCGTTTTCGTACCATTTGTAAATATGTTTCTTCGCAGTTCATTCTTTGTGTTATCTCACGGATCTTTTCGAATTTATTTTCAATGAAAAAGACGATTAAATTATTCATAAGAAGTATTTGCAAACAGCGTTGCGACAAGCATTGTTCTGACAGTCGTAAGTTTGAACGTAGCTGTAGTAGCCAGGTGGATCGAAGGTGATAATCTGAAAGTTGAATATTTTTTAATGGTTCTAGTTGATTTTTGTTCACCTGGCCATAAAGTCCGCCGCTTTGACCGCCAGGGGCGTAAATCGGGCGCATTTCATTGTCCGAATATTCAGTATGATCAGCCCAAGCACCATTATAAAGGCCGATGATGGCATTATCTTGTGCATTTCCGTGGAAGCCCCAATCCACTGTAGTGTTGAAGCGAACCAAGTCTAGAAATTCATTCGTAATTTTATGATTTATGTTGGAAGTTTTTCGGACCTGCAACGAAAGTGGCTTCTTTAGCAGAATGAATTGAAGCGAGGTGCGAGTTTCTGGCGGTCAACTGTTGGCAGGTCGTTTCTGCCGAGCTGTAGTAGGAAACACCGAGAACCTAAATTTGAAAAGTTGTATTTATTAAAATTTATGATGACCTTGTAACAGGCGCAAGTGTAGGGGCAGTAGGTCCAGCCGGACGCACAAGCACTGGCAGCTGAAAATTCGAATAAAAGTTTCAAAACTCGCATCAGCAAGACATTTTTTCATGAATTGATAAAAAATCACGTGGTTTTCACGAAAACAGGGTTTTGGTTTGAATTCTTCAATCGAGTTAGCTCAGATTTGGTTTTTCTTTCAACAGTTCCGTTTATTGAGTTCATTTCGAAAAACTCGCTAGATTGAAGTTTTTTGATTAATAGATATTTTTTTCCAATCAATTTTCATGAGGGCCAGAATCCATGGCAAGGTATCAATTATTTCAAATTTAAATAAGTTTTTTTCGTAAAATATATTATCGAATGGATTCGACGATATCGGGCTCCTGAGCCAGTCATTCAGTTTGATTTTTTTCAAAAAAATAGTAATTTTTGTTGTGCTTGTATCAAAGATTAGATGACCGTTTTTTTCCGCCTTTTTCAATATTATTTTTCATAGCCCGAAAAAAAGAAGAAAGTTCGAAACTTGAAATTTAAAATGTTTCATCAAGTTGGCCGATAAAGTTCAGTCATAACAAAAATATTAAATAAAATCTTCACCTCCATATTTATCCATACAGCTAGGATAAGACCTCGGTGGCGGAGTTGCAGAAACAGCTGCAGCTTTTTGTTGTTTTTTAGCGACAACTGGTGTCGAAGTGCAGTTTCTGGAGTCTGAGATGCAAACCGAAGGGTTGGCGCTGGCTGAGGTGTACCAGCGGCCAGTGGAAGAGTCAAGCATGACTCCCGTGTTTGTCGCGGTGATAAGTGGCTGTCCTGAAAGTTTTATTGGTGGTAAAAAATCAAAGAAATAGTATTTAGAACCTCCCGCCCAGTTCGAGTATTTGAGCGGGTTTCCGTGGATATCAGTAGCAATGCCATTGGTCATCACAGCACCAATCCAGACACTTTGTAGAAAAGTTTCTGAAACCTCAAGAAAATCCTCGCAAGATTTCATATCTTTTGCTTCTAATCAAGTCTTTTTGGGATATTTTTAAAGTCCGTCTGATTTTAAAGCTTGCGTCAGAGCATTGATTTTTAATACTTTCAAATATGAATTCTTCTTTCCTTGAACTCGTCAATCCTTTTAAAATTTTCAAATCGCATTGCAAACCGTCAACTAATTTTTTTTTTCAGCCGAAATTTCGGGTCTTTGTCACTCAATCAGAAAAGATGTCAGAAGACGGTTGATTTTCGTCGAAATGGTGATTGATTTTCAACAAAATTCTCGAAAATCTGATTTATTGAGGATTATTTGATTTTTTAGAACCGCATGGCCTTGGTTATAGCCCATTCCGCGCATGCTTTCCTTTCCGCCAAAAATACCGTATACCAAATCAGATCAAAATTGAGCATTTTCGCTTCAAGACCTCTGTATTTTGCTGACTTTTTAGTAGTTTTGTAGAGCAAAAGTTTGTATTGACGGTAACTTCTTCTTTTCTTTTCAAAACGTGACCTTCTCGCGCGGAACGCACTATAAAGTGAGGCTAGAAGTGATATTTTTAGAACTTCGTTGAGTGGGGCTGACTCGAAAAACCTAACTACTGAAATTCATGAAGTAAGGAAAAATCACCTGAAGCCACGCCGGTAATGACGGCATTGTCGATGGCGTTCTTGGGAAGGGCCAAACTTCCCACCAAACTGCAAATCGTCTGAGAAGTCTGCCAATCTTTCTGAATGTTCACCGGTGTGTAGCACCTGCAATTTTCAAGCTTAAAGTTTTCGAAAAAATGAAACTCACGTCAGACCATCGCCTGAAATGATGGCATCTGGTGGGCAGACGTTATCGGCGTCGGCTTTCAAACATAACAAAACGAACAAAAATCCATAAATCAACATTTCACCCTTAACTGCTATCGAATAATTCATGAATAGGTTTCCAAGAGAGATAAGATAGAGACGGTTGAAAACCGTGAAAAAAGAAGAACAAGCCGATAATTTTCATTTTTATGCAGAAAAATTATTGAAGCGGATATTTGCAGACGGCGTTACGGAACTCGAAGTCTTCAGTGTCGCTGGTGGAGCCGAAGCCGCGATAGCCGATTGCATTGGCAGTGATCAACTGAAAAAGGATATTGAGTTAGTTTTTTTAATCGATAAAAATCAGATCACCGAAAAATCTATGTAAAAGGCGAGAATAATTAAATTGATTATATGAAGTTTCTGCCTTTTTTGAATATTTCTGAAATTTTTGAGTGATTTCCACTGATTTCTATATTATTTCTGCCCATACATGGGATAAGCATGACTGGCGACAGCCAATCCGAAAATAAAGAGCGTTTTTTTCCTCCGATCACTATTAACTAAGAAAAAAATCGCTTCTGCCAGTCAATTGAACTTTAAAAAAAGGAATTTTTTTGATCGGATTGACTAGCGCCGTCCAGCGCACACCCTGAAAAATTTTTTTACGGTTTTTTTGCCAAATTCCCTTCCCTTTTTTTCAGGTCCAATCGAGAATATTCCATTTATGTCTCTGTCTCTTCAAAACTCATCCTTTCTACCCTCTGACGGCTTTTTTGAATACAGGCGAAGTCGGAAAGCGTGGAAAAAGGCTCCAGAGAAGTGTCCCTTTTTGGGTGACAACGGCTCCATTTTTGCTGCCTTTTTGCGCCATTTCATCGGCTCTCATGCACAATTTTTGCTACCTCTCCTTTTTCCACCATTTCATGACCCTTTAAAATCCTAGAAAATGGAAGGCTCGATAAAGGGACCCATTTTGGTGCCTTTCTGCGACCTTTTTGCCGCCGGTTTGCTGTCTTTCTGCGCCCTTTTTTGAGCTTATCCCTTCTAGCGGCCTTTGCCCAAGGGGTCACTGTGAACCGAGCAAAAACTGACGATCGCATAGTTGGCGTTGGGAGAAGTGTAGGGCGACATCCAGGGATAGCCGTCGTAGGGCGTTGCGTCGGCGTTGCGCCAAACGTAGTCGGGCGCTTGTCGGAAAAGGCCGATCAGGGTGTTGTCACGGATGTCGCCACGAACAATCCAGTCGTCCTTGCCTTGGGCCGCTATCGCCAAGTCTGTAGAACTGACCGTTACTTTTTCCCCCGAATTTTCTCACCGCTGACGAAAATCGCCTCGGCGTCACTGTGAATGGAAGTCAGGCCGCCGGTTGGATTGTACTTGTAGCAAGTCGACTGGGCTTCGTCGAAATAGGTCGCCGTCACTATCTGGAACTTTTTACTTTTTGGGAATTTTTGATACGGTAACCTTGTAGCAGGAGCAAGTTCGCGGATAGAACTCCCATGTTTCGTCCAAACAAGGGTTCACCATGGCTGAAATCTTTCAGTTTTTGAAAGTTAAGGTCTATTCGACAACTCGGGAAAGTTTGAAGGGAGAGACTCAAAAAAAGTCAGCAAAAAGGATCCTTTATGGAGCTTTTCATTTTTTTCGGGTTTTTGAAGGCATTTTTAACATGTCATTTCAGGTATTGAGTCCGTCTAGAAACCCGTCTACATACGTTTCAAACCATATATTTTTCTTCATTTCTCTCCTTTTCTTTCAGTGCATCTTCCATCCACTAGGTAATAAATGTCTTCCATCGAATTGAATAAAAAAACATCGAAAAAAATCTAACGAAGACTTTTTTTGGAAAAATGGGAAAAGAAGCAAAAAAATGGTGCAAAAAGGGCAGCAAAAAGGAACATTTCTGTGGAGAATTTTTCCGCCCTTTCCGACTTTGCCTAGTAGTTTTTCAGTGCCACTGTCGTAACCAAGTCAAACTCTCACTTTTTGTATTTTTGCAAGACAAGGATTGGTGCTCGGCGTTGGTCCGGGAGTCGTGTATCCCATTCGTGGAGTCGTCATGTTCCTCGGGAAAGGTGTCGTGGCTCCTTGATTTCCAGCGCATGATGGCGAAAAAAAGCGCAAATCACGCTGTTTTTGAGCGTCGACGGTGGTGGTGGTCCAACGACCGTCACTGGAGCGGAGTTGGACGGCGTAGCCGTTTTGGAGTCGTGGTTCCCCTGGATGAATGTCATCGATAAGACTTTTTTTTGGAATGATTTTTTTATGAGAATTCAGTTCGAAAATACTTCTTGAAAGAACGGAAAAATCGTATAAGGAGAGACATTTTAATTACTTCAATATTGATAATACTCGAGGGCAATAACACGGCTAGCAAAAGATTAAAAGAAAATAAAAGATTCTGAAGTTTCTCGTTCATTTTTAGTGGAGAGTCTGGGAAAATTTTTAGCGGCCACTATAGAGGCTCGCCAAGGACTACTTGGAGAAGACACTTTGGTGACCACTAAACCCACCTCTATATTGGCCACTATTTTTCGTTTTAGGGGCCACTTCAGTAAATTCTCATCCAGTACTCTTTCCAGTAAATCTGATAATTTTAAAACAAACAGATTGGACCAGTTATGTTGATCCATTGACCCCTAAAGTGGCCACTAAAGTTTTTAGTGGTCTAGTAGTACCACTTAGACCTCTATAGTGACCACTAATATTCAACCCCTTAAGTGTCGACTAATTTGACTACTATAGTGGCCACTCAAACGTCAAAAACCCTATAGTGGCCACTAAAAAATTTTTCCCAGGCTAGCAGGAAATTGAGAGTGTTTTGAAAAAAAGTTCGTTCCGGAAAATTTTGATGTCTTTACCAAAAAAACTTCTTAAACTTCTGTCACATGGAAACAAGATCGTCAAGAAAAACAATGAAGCACTTTTTTTCCTGCTTTATTTCGATCGAATAAAGATTAATAAAAAAAGAGAAAGTTTTTTTAATTCGAAGTTGCTAAAGGCCATCACGACCATAACCAAGCTTTTTCCGGAGACCCCGTGATTTTTTTGAACTTTCATCCTTTTTCCCGTCAAACGATTACTGATAAGACTTCCACTGATAAAGCAACGGAAATTCATAAGACGACTAAAAGATCACTTCAATTTGATTCACCTGGTGCCCAGTTAGTGAAAGTCGGCATTGAACCGTCGTCGGTTCGATAGGCTCCATTAGAATAGGAGTACGGTAGCCAGGAAAAGAACAGGCCATCTTCTGAAATCTTTAGAGTTTGGAAGGAAGGCAATTTAGTTTGGATCTCAAGTTTTTTTAACAAATTTTTGATGATTATTTTTCAAAATCAGAGCCTCCAAGATCTTTTTTCCTGGATCCTTTGCGATAAAATTGAGCCTTTGAGCCTTTTTCTCAACGAAAAATAGTCGGTTTTTTTGAGTTTTAGAGAATTTTTTTGAAAACCTATGAATGTCGTGATGTTCCGAGTAAAGGAAATACCTGACACCCTATGTTTAGTTTAAACAAAAAAATTGAAACTGACGATTCAAAAGACCGTCCAAAAAAAGCGTTAGTGAAGGCGTTTGGAACCAAAGGCAGGCCTCCGTAGAGTAAGCCACATAAAGTTTTGGCCTCACGGTACGATACGGACGTTTGAATGGCTTTGTAGCATCTGGAAACGATTTCTGAGTATTGGGAAAGCGTGGATTTCAGAATAAATTGTTGCTTGAAGCACTAGATGCGGCTTGACTTGGAAAAACTCACAATTTACCATCAGCCGATAGAGTCGATCCGCCAGGACAATCCGCAGAAATCCTAGTGACCAGGAAAAAAACAAAAAATAAAATTGAATAAAGCGACATCGCACCCACGGCTCTCCTAGCGAGAAATACTCCCTTATCATTTCTTTTCCCAGTGATAACTCAATTCAATCTCATCAAGAGATTGATAATTGAAGTTATATCATCATGATCAAACAAGAAAGATAGTGATGAAATGTTTTGTCATCAATCTGTTTTATTGTATTTTTTTCGTTCCTTTCCATCAAATTGATAAGGTTTTTTTTCAAACTAGCGAATATTTGCAAACGGCGTTGCGGCAAATGTTATTCCCAGTGTTGAAAAAGGCGCCGAAGCCTCGATATCCAGGCGCTCTGGTGGTTATCAGCTGAAATTAAGAAGTTAATTAAATTATTGGTAAGGAGGAAGAGAAAAGGAAGAGAAACGTGGGCAAAGTCGGAAAAAGGTACAAAAAAATTTTTTGGCCCTTATGCACCATTTTTTTGCTGCCTTTTTTTCCACCCTTTCTCGAGCTTTTAGTCCCAGAAAATGGAGGGCCTCGATAAAGGGACCTTTTAGCAGCCATTCTCCACCATTCCGACTTTTGCCCAAGACTGAATAAAAAGAGCATCTTGAAACGAATAAGTTTCAATTTTTTTATGGATAATTTGCGAAATAAGGATTAATTGTTCGGAAAATTCCTTTGCTGACTTACGAAAAACTTGTTTTCCAAAGTCTCATTTACGAAAAAAAGATCCAAAGTTTAGCATTTCAAGCCTTTGAAACCACTTGAAAGAAGATTCGAAAAAAATTATTTTTTTCAATTTAGTTTAGTTTTTTTCTGGGGAAATTTTTCGATTTTTCGATCCCGAATTTCGAGCAATTTTTTTGTTTGTTTTTTTCTCATCAGTACCTCAGCGTTCCAGAGTATGGTAAGCAAGTTTTAAAAAAGCACAGTCTTTTCATTCATTTTCGGTATAACTCAGATTGTATTGAATAACGAACCGTTCCATAATAATCCAAGGTGGCCGAATGGGGCGCGACCCACGGGAACCCTTGGTAAGGCGTCGTGTCTGTATAGTACCACTGAGAGTATATGTCAGCACGGTACAATCCAATGATCGTGTCGTCTTGTCCATCGTGATGGGTCTTAAAAATGAACAAAAGTGGCGATTCGTAGTTTCAGCCATTAATTTGGAAATTCATGATCTTCAAGGAAATGGAGGATACCTAAATGTCATTGGAAGGTTCAGTGATCTCACTGTTTATTATTTCCTGCTGCCCCTCAGTTGCTCTTTAAAGATATGCCATGAATTGTTTTGTAAATTTAAAAAAAAATAGGACAGATTTTAAAAACGGCAGTGATAGAGCGAACCCAGAATTTCATTGAATAACATTAGAAATCGATTTCACAGATGTTTTATACTAGAAATACTAGAAAAGCTTGAATAAATGGTGAATAAGTTGGGTTTTTCCCCCAAAAGAAACTCGAAAAAATTCCCTACTTTACACACTGTACACAGAAAAACTATAAGAAAGGTACATTTTATTTTCTTTTTTTCGAATTTTCATACCTGCCAGTTGTCGTTGTTGTTTGTTGACATGGCGAAATCTGAAAATTTTCCAAAGTCTCTATTCCATAAAAGTCATTACCAGTGACGAAGACGGCCTCCTCGTCGCTATGAATAGAAGCCAAGTTACTGTTAAAGCGGAAGTTGGAGCAAACTGATTGGGCAAGGGAAAAGTGTGTCTGGCTGAGGACCTGGGAATTTTCAAGGTTGGATTAAATTGTAAGAAATATCATAAGTAGCTTATTCACGGCTGGCTTGAGCCATCAAAAAATGGTCCTGACACGATAAAAGAAGAGATAGTGCCTGGTTGGCGTAGAGCGCAGACAGGCCACGCCTACTTAGTATCCGAATTAAGCCGTGAATCGGCTATTGAATTAATTCAAAGTTTTTCATGAAAAATTAATTCCAGTGAGAAATATAACAACTGAAAAATGCAATAGGGCTTTGAAAGTTTTTCTAGAATTTATTGGAAGAAAATTGATTTTTTCTCAAGTTTTATTTTGTTTTTTTCAGAAGTTTTAATAACAAACTTTTTAGATTTGTAAGGCATTTATTTGAAAAGAAAAATAATAATATTTGTTTCTGAGGCGCACTAGAACTCCTTTCATATCCATGAGGACTTCTCGTCGAAAAAAAAACAATTCAAGCTTTTACCTTGTAACAAGAGCAAGTTCTTGGGTAGAAGAACCAGGAAGTGTCCAGGCAAGGGTTCGAATCGTCTGAAATATAAAATATACAAAAGTGCTCAATATTTATTTTACCTTTGTTTATTTTTGAAAGTTTTATGGTAAGTTTTTTTTTATTTCTTTGTACCCTGTAGATTTTCAACTGATGGATCTTGACAGAAAGATAGATAAATTTTTGGAATATTTCAGAATTATTTTTTTCTACGGCCAAACTTCACAAAGGACCAAAAAGCTTCATTAAAGATCATCTTTTGTCTTTCTGTTTAGGAGTTACTTTTTTGAGGCAATTAAAAATATTTTGAGAGAGTAAACCGAAAAAGTATCTAGAAAGAGATGCCCTAATACACAAAAAGAGATCCTGTTACTTGAAAAAAATTGAGAAAAGGCTTAGGAAAAAGCTTTAGGCAGTTTCACGGACTTTTTCTAAGAATTATAATTTTTTTGTTGAAGGGCTATGCTGGGTTTTTTTCTGTTGAAGGGCTCTATTTTTTTGCTGCTAGAGGTACTTATGGGAAAACGTGTACAGTACCAGAAATAATTTGAGTTCGCTGATGGAGGTTTAGAAAGCATCCTGGTGATGTATAATAATTTTTCTTCTTAATACTTGTGGAAGAACGAAGCGAAGGATCGTATGACCATGCTTTCAATTCGATCAACTACACTTTTTTTGAACTTCTAGTTCGTGAAAGGCGGTGTTAGTGCCGCTCAAAAGAGCAATCTTTTCACCGCTTAGTCGATTCCATCTGACTAAAAAAACCATTAAATATTGATGATGATGATGAATCAAACAGTTTACATTGATAGAGCTGAAGACAGTAGTTGGGGTTCGGAGTTGGTTGAATGACGGGATTCGAAGTGGTACGGATCACGGGCTTTGTAGTTGTCGTCGCTGTATCGCTGCATTGAGAATTGGGAAAGGCGCAGATGACGTTGTTCTGGTTACTGTACAAAAAAGTACGCCATTTGCCGTCGGATGAGTGCAAGGCTGCCGCGAAGCCTTCGCCCAGTGTTGGCTCTCCTGTTAACATTTTCGTTGGATCAAAAATAATTGATTCACGTGGAATGTTACTACAATAGTAACCAATAAATGAGCTCACAGTGTTCCAAAAGAGACGGCGGCAAGCGAGGTCGTCGCAATGGGGCGAAAACGCGAGTTTTTCTAAAAATCGAGGCAGTATTCGACGAATTTATTCTTGAAAAATGTCATTTTGGGTGACAACTTTATTCGTACAAGCTATTATGTATTTGTTTTTGTTTTAAAACGTTCAAATGGTATTTCTTAAGAGAAGTGCTTTGAGCTTTTTTCTCAATTTTCCCTTTGAAGTTCTGATCTGACGAGTTTTCCTAAAAACGACATTTTGGGAGATATTTTTGTTTTGCAAAAACTTTTTCGTCTCTTTCTTCATTTAAACTTGTTCGTTATAATTATATACACATTAAAAATGTTTGAAAACTTGCGAGAACCTAGGAAAAACATTATTTAATGGTCTTTTTCCAACCACTAAATCCACAAAACTTGACTCTCATCCCCGCGCCCCTATTGCAATAAACCGTGCCGCTGTTGCAGTCAGCCACGCCTACTGACCACAGCTGCCGCTCGTTTGGGAACACTGTGGAGCTCGTTCTGTCAAAAAAAAAAGCCTTCTAGCGAGAATACGTCTCTGATTGGCTGGCAACAAAGGTAGCAAAAAGGGTCCCTTTATCAAACCTTCCATTTTCTCTGAGCTCGAGAAATGGTGGAAAAAAGGGAGATGCAGCAAAAATGGTCCATAATAGCCGATGAAAGGGCGCAAAAAGGCAGCAAAAAAAAAAGAATCTTTCACACCCTAAAATGAAAATTTCTAGGGGCCTTTTTCCGTCCCTTCCGACTTTGCCTTTTTTTTCGGATTTTTCTCTTCAAAAATAATGAATGGAACGAACCGGGTGCCCAATTGGTAAAAGTCGGCGGTTTTCCGTCCGGCCCAAGATAAGCTCCATTGAAATAGTAGTATGGTAGCCAGGTGAAGGACTGATTAGTTTCTGAAAGTTGAATGGTTTTTTCAATGTTTTTATGGTGAATTAGAGGCCACTGGCTGATTGTTTTCATAAAGGAATTTAAATACGTATCATGGAAAGGCCATTTTGAGTAAAGGGAATCACTTCATGCTCTTAAAATACAGAAAATTTAATTTTTCAAAAGCTGTACCCTATCGCAATCCCATTGATGAAAGCGTTGTCGTAGAGCATTCTGAACGGCTGGCAGGCCTCCGTAGATCAATCGGCACACTTTGACTGGCGTCGCCGTGATGGCTTACGTTTGGTTGGATTAGCACCTTTGCAGCATCTGGAAAAGTGAGTTTGGACGCCGATTTGGGATCAGAGAAAATCAGTGCTGAATGAGTTTTTGCAATAGTATGCCTTACAATATAAAAATATTTTTATTTCACTGTTGAAGATTGATAGAATCAATCATTAGGATGATTTCATGATTTCGAAAATGTTATAACATTGAAGTTTTTAGTTGAAATTGAACTTTTCGAGCCTTCCACCGCTAGGGATCCCAGAACATGATCCGAGAAAAACATTGGAAAAATAGATGACCTCAAGTGTTATTCTCAAAGTCACAAGATAGGAGATAAGTCGCGATAGTAAATCAATTTTTGAATAAAAAGATGATTTTCGAATGATCCAGTCCAAAGGATAACAAGTGAAAATTTAAGTATAGAAGTCATGAGAAGAAAAACTCACAATTTCCCATCAGAAGATTGAATAGAGCCGTCCGGACAATCGGCGTCGATCCCAGCGATGAGAAAAAGAACACAAATCGAAATGGAATAAAACATCACCGGCAGCCCGTTTTCCGCTCCTTTTTCAACGCAAAATAATTGCTTATCACCATTTCCTATTGATAAAACTCAACGGCGTTTCAGTGCGGAACAAACAATTCTCCCAAAATTTTCCACCTTTTTTGAGCAAATTTGAATTCAAGTCGGTAAAAAAAAATGCGAGAGTTCTGCGAATTTCAAGAAAATTGAGAAGCTTTAAATTTCATTGAGGGAAATGAATGGCTCTCGAAAAATGAGTCCTTTCCCGATTTTTTTGATTCAGAAGGCTTTGGTGTTTACGTGAAATAACTGTAAAACGAGTTGTAACAGACCAAGAAACGGCTTGCGCTTGGAAGCTCTGGAAAGCGTTAGATCTAGAGTTCACAAGGTGCAAAGTTAGCAAGAGCTATTTTTAGTGCAACTATGAATTTTCGAGAAAATGATATAAAAACTACACTCAAATTTTCAGTCAAAAATATGCTAATTTTTCAAAGAGAAACTGAAAAGCTTCTACTTCTTCATTATATATAAATTGTAAAAATTGAAATATCAAAACTAAAATGAAATAATAGAACGGCGAGCTATGAGGACAGCTTTCAACATATCTAACTGATAAAAATCGGAAAAAGGTCGACGTTGATAGAAGGCTTCTTCAAGTTAACTGATAAATTTCTAGCCATCGGAAAAATCGGCTCAAAAAGATTCTGGTGATCTTTTACTAGCATATTACTGTTTCAAGCCAAAAATAAAATTTTTAAGGGAACCTCAATTTTCAAAGCTTAAAAAAATATCTTGAAGGTTTAATTTAATTTTACATTTACAAAGAAAGGCTCTGATTCAAATTATTTACTGATTTATCTAGTTTTTGTTGTCTCCAAGTCCCTAAGATTCTTTTGATCTCAACGGTTTTTTTGAAAAATATTTGATAACGTGATATTCGTCATTGATAGCTATCTTCTGCGGTTTCCTTTATCAGCCAGCGACATTTCCAACTTTAAAGGTCACAGATTTCCTGACAGTAATATGGTTTAGCGTGTTTTCTGACACTGATAAGAGTTTGAAATGTCAATTTTTAATCCTTCTTATCATACAGTACAACTTGTCACGCCCCCGGTCCCGGAATGACTGTAGAAATAGTTGCAACCGACCGAGAAACGGCTTTCTGCTCGAGGTTATAGGAAAAGTAAGGTCAAGGATTTTCGACCTCTGTAACGAAAACCGGACGTGCTCTGGGCGTTTCAGAGCAATTCTAGGGATCACTTAAGAGTGCTGAAGACTAAAGTGGTCACTAGAATCGCCCAGTCCGTTTCTCGTTACCAATGTCCGAGTTATATAGCTGATTCACGGCTGGCTGAGCTATCGAAAACATGGTCCTGGCACGATAATGCACGAGATAGCGCCTGGCTCGTGGAGAGCGCAGACAGGACATGCCCACTAGCGTCCTAAGCTAGCCGTGAACGTATAGCTGATACGATGCAAAATGGGCTAGATCCATTCCAAATGCGACCGCGTAATTTTAAAAGTATCAAATTTTTTGAAAATTCAGAAAAACCTTAATCGTACTAATTTTCAAAGAGTAGTTTTCCAGCAAAACTAATTTGAAGCGTTTCCTTGGAAAATATGATTTTTCAGTTGGTTGATCTTGACTTTTTTATCATTTTATCGAATCCCATCAATTTTAAAGCTGATATTTGCAAACGGCTGTCCGGATAATGTAGTTCTCAGTACTGTAAACGCCTCCAAATCCTCGGTAGCCCGGTGCGCTCGAAGTTATCAACTGAAAAAGAGCATTACGTTTGAATTTCTGAATTTCTTTTGAAAAATTATGAATTCCAGTTAGAAACTAAGGTAACTGTAGACAATGAGCCTTTGGTTTGTATTTTTCCCGGCTTTTATAAGCTCCAAGATTTTTGTAATAAGGACGAAAAGACCCTTTTTTAAGAATATTGAAGGCTTTCTTTGACTTTGAGGTATCCTTGTCCGAAAACCAGAAAGTTGAGAAGGTTGAGACTGCTGGAATATTCTGGCTGACTTTCAAGAAATCCTCAACCGCAGACTAGAATAACCTCTCTATAACCCACCGTCCCATAGTTGTTATTGATCGAAGTGTCCGGTGCGATCCAGGGGAAGAAATCGTAGGGCGTATGATCGGTATGTTGCCAAGGGGCTCCAACTTCAGTACGGTACAAGCCGATTATGGTATCATCCTCGCCGTCGTGGTGAACTTCCCAGTTGTCGTTTTCAATCGCGGCGATTACCATGTCTGTGCAATTTGATATTTTTTTATGATCTAGAGGGATTAAAGGAGCATAGACGAAGATCTGTGCCTTTAAACCGAGCAGAAGAGAAAAAATAATTCGGGAGTTTCCAAATTTTTCGAGGTTCTGGAGTGATTGAAGTAACATAGACGAAAATCTGCGACTTCAAAAAGAGCAGAAAGGAGAATTTTTCAGGAGTTTCAGAACTTTTCAAGGTTCTGGAGTGGTTAAAGGAACATAGACGAAGGTCTAAGCTCTCAAACCGAGCAGAATAAGATGATAATTTCGGAAGTTTCAGATTTTTTTAAGGTTCTGGGGTGATTAAGTGAGGATAGAGAAAAAGATCCGGCTGTGACCATCTGGAAATAAAGAAGGTTTGAAAGTTCTGGATTGATTAAAGTCAGTGAAGATTCATGCTTTCAAAGAGAGGAGAAAAAAAAATTATTTTGGAAGATCTTGAGAATCTGAAGTGATTGAAGGACCAGTAGCGAAAAGTTGAGAATAGAATTACAGTACTGGCCATAAAGGTATTTCAAAGTGGTTATTCGAGCACAACTTCTCTGAAAGTGGCTCAAATGACTTGAAACTGCGTACAGATTTCAAATAACTACGCAGTAACCCTTTCCCGAAAGAAGAACTCATTTGCCCGAGTCAGACCGGATTTGAGAGCTAAAAACCAAAAATCGTAAAAATGAAGATTTTTCTCTTGAGATTCGAAAAATCATATCTTCGAAGAAACTTCGATTTTAAATCAGAAACTTTTTTCCCCGGTGAAACAAGTCTTCGGCTTTCTAAAAAACCTAATCAGCCCCTTACCAACCCGATAGTAAGAGCGTAGTGACTTTTTCTTCGGAAGGCCTTTTTCGTTTTGACTCCTCGTCATTCAAATGGACTATACGAGGTCATTTTTGTTTGAGAACACCCTGTTTCATGTTGAAAAACTTGAAAACACCCTCAAAAATAGTTTTACACTGATTTCTTCAGCATTCTCATTTTATCTTCTCTCCAGAACTCGCTTACTTCTTTAGGTCTGATTTTGAAACCTCTGATTCGAACAGTTTCTCTGGACTTTCGGGCATTCAAAGCAATTTTTATCTGATCATTTTGCTTTTAATCGTGAATTCGAAAATAAATAATGGCTAAATTGCAGGCTCCTACTTTGAAGACTGCTAATTTTTGCTGAAGCATTAATTTCACAAGACCAAAAACTTATTTTTCCCCTAAAGTTCAAAGAAACTTTTTACAATGCTTATCTTTGAACTGAGAGCTAGAAAGTGGAGTTACAAATTTATCTCATGATCTTAAACACTTAAAAATATAAAAAAGGGGTTTTTATCATCTTTCAGAAACTCATTATAACTATATATTTTGATTAAGTAAGCAAAACACAGTGAGTCTTCTTTTATTTTAATTCATAACGGTTCTGAAAAAGCTTTGCTGAAATGAGAAATCGAGAATGTTCTGATTTTGAAAAATGAGCATAACCGCTTCGAATCAGAGGTTTCAAAATCAGACCTAGTGAAGTAAGCGAGTTCTAGAGAGAGGATAAAGTGAGAAAGCTGAAGAAAACAGTGCAAAACTATTTTTGAGGGTGTTTTGAAGTTTTTCAACATGAAACAGGGTGTTCTCAAACAAAAATGACCTCGTATAGTCCATTTGAATGACGAGGAGTCAAAACGAAAAAGGTCTTCCGAAGAAAAATTCACTACGCTCTTACTATCGGGTTGGTAGAGGGCTGACTAGGTTTTTTGGAAAGCCGAAGACTTGTTTTACCGTAAAGAAAAGTTTCTGATTAAAAATCGAAGTTTCTTTGAAGGTATGATTTTTCGAATCTCCAAAGAAAAATCTTCATTTTTACGATTTTTGGTTTTTAGCTCTCAAATCCGGTCTGACTCGGGCAAATGAGTTCTTCTTTCGGGAAAGAGGTACTGTGTAGTTATTTGAAATCTGTACGAAGTTTCAAGTCATTTGAGCCACTTTCAGAGAAGTTGTGCTCGAATAACCACTTTGAAATACCTTTATGGCCAGTACTGTATTTCGGATAATTTGAAAGTTCCGAAATTTCAAATGAAGATAGGCGAGAGTGATCAAAAATGGTATGAAAGGGATGATTATCAAAATTTCCTAATCGCTTCTGTAAAACTGTTCTAGGAATAGAGATGTCATAGCAGAAAGACAAGAGGCCAGAAAATTTTTTAAAATACAAGAAGTCGGAAAGTTCTTGAGATAATTTTTTTTTAAGAAAGAAAACATCAATTTGATAGTTAGGAAGGTTCAAATGTCTTGGAGTGATTGAAGGATAAAGCTGAGCTTGAAGTCCTCAAAAAATTGATGTATAAACCATACATACCACTGACGAAGATCGCCTCAGAATCGCTGTGAATAGAGACGAGGTTACTGCCCGGGAAGAGATTTGAGCAGTCTTCTTGAGCTTGTTCGAAGTAGGTAGAGTTGAGAATCTGAGAGATCTGATGAAAAACGAAAAATTTGAGCTCGACGTATGTGAAGGACCTGATAAAGGCTTTTGGAATCAAAGCTGGAAATTTCAAGGTAAAAATATCTAATTAAGGAAAACTACCTGGTAGAGTAAAAGAGTAAGGTTTATTAAAAATTTGGGAGCTTTTTAAAAATTGAACAGAGAATATTCTACGAAAATGTCTTCGAAGTTAGCTGGCATTCCGATCTAGAAACGGTGATTATAAAAAGTTTGATTTCTCAGGAAAATCTTTATTCCTACCTTGTAGCACGAGCAAGTGCGCGGATAGTAGCGCCAGGTGTTGTCTCAAGCACGGGTTCTGATTGTCTGAAAAAGTCTTATGTTGAGAATTGCCTCTAGTTGAAGAAAAATTTGAGATCTGCTTTCTGAAAAACGACTCCAGTACCAATAACAGTTAGAGACCTATGAAGGCTAGGAACATTCAAAAGTAACTTTGAGATTTTGAATGTTGAGGTAATAGCTTTTCACAGTTATCCGATCATTTTGAAGTTTTCTTTTCTTAAATTTATGTTGAGGCTCTTTTGTGAAACGATTTTAACTGAGGCTGTTTTATACCTGTTCTAATTAGAAAATGATCTTTTATTTGGAGTTTTTGGAAAATATCGTGATTTTAGTCGCAGTTTGACAAAAACTTTCGTTAATCTGTTTTGATTAAAAACCCTGAATATACTGGGAAAATGTTCTTCTGTTTTGGCGTCAAAATACACTAAGAGACAGAGAGAGAGTTTAAAAGACTTCCTTTCCAAATCTGTTCAGATTGGATCAAAGAACATGTCAAAATTTAAAATGACTGGAATACTTACCTCTAAAACTAGGGAACACAGGGAAACACTGTAGTAGGAAGAAAGTGAGTGAATGGTGAAAATATGTCGTTATGTGGTAGTGAATGATTGAGACTTTGTCGTTTTCTCGAGACTAGAGGCACTGGCTAATGGTGGCGGAAAGGCGCTGTGAAGTGGAAGCTCGGAGTTGGTGGATAAGTGAAACCAGCGGCCAGTCAGTCGAACTCAAGAATGGCGGCGTAAACGCCGCTAGGCGTGTCCGGTTTACTCCTGTAATTTTATCGCGTTTCACTACTTTGTTAGAGAGGTGGCATTTGGCGTCCATCTACTTCTATTCACAGCTGAAGCCGCTATCTATGTAGCTGACTCTTTGCTGATTCTAGAAAGTTTGCGAAGGAGGCGCGAGCAGGACGCGTAGCGTAAAAGTGCGTCGCGGTCTGGTGCACGAGTTCAATCTTACCGAGTCGCTTTAATATTTAAAAGCTCGGCGGTCGCTCTCAATGTTTTCTACTGTGTCTGGCTGCACGAGGTGAACATAATCAATCATAATTGAGCAAAGGAATGAGCGATTTACAGGCTTTTCCCAGAGTAGCATGGCGGTTGACCTGAGCTCGCGGCAAGAATCGCGCGCGCGTCACACGCTACGCGTCCTGCCCCCTGCTTTTCAAGTCGAGAGAAGTTGTGTCCACACTAAATAGATCGAGTATTAAATTTGCAGTCTGACGTGCTGCTGGTTTTCGATCTCTGAGCGAACGACAGCTGTCAAAGATAACGAGCCTAGTCTCAATTAAAGTTACGTGGTGATGGCTCAAATAGGTCGCAGAGGCAGCAAAAGGCAGCAGTCCTTTTTATCAGCTTTCCATCTTTTTCTTTTGGGATTTGAAAGGCTCTGGCAGAGTAATGGTGGAAAAGGGAGGCAGCCTTATGGTGCATAAGGGCTGAAAATGGCGCAAAAGAGGCAGCAAAAGAAATGATTGCTCATATCTAAAAGCGGTAAAAATTTCTATTGAGCTCCACCACTTTTCAACTTTGCCTATGGTTATAAAGTAAAAGAAATGAAGATCAAAGCAGAATATTTCCAATGAAGATAATCCAGTGCTTGAGTTTTGAGATACCTATAGCTTTAGTTAGTAAGTTTAAGAAGCTCAAATCTTTTGAAAAGCTGGGTTTTTGACGTTGCATGTTAAAATTTCTTTGAATTAACAGGTCTGCAGATGAAATGGTTTTACTCCTTAAATAGAACCTTCTGATCCTGAATACATAGACCGTACTGGCTCAATCTAAGCTGTTCTGTCGCAAACTACTGCAAGTCCATTCTTTTCGCTTTCTTGAAGTGTGATTACGGTACAGTTATCAATCATCGAAACTGATCTTTTTGAGTCTGTTCGTCATATATTTGCTCAGCATGGCGTGTCGGTTTTCACTGGTAATGCCGACTTTCCATGCTAAAACTGCCTGTGATAACGGCGAGAAACGAAGATTATTTGATCTCACCAGATCCCCAATTTGGTAAAAGACGGCTTTATTTCCGTCCTCGCCGATGTAAGCTCAGCATCCGAATAGTGGCTACGGTAGCTCAGAGTAGCTCAGAGAAACTTCTGAGAAACCTGGGTTTTAACATTTTAAGTGGAGAATGGGAGGAATTTGAAAACGACTTTTTGAACATCGATACTGGGAAAATGTTCAGTGGCCACTATAGAGTTTTTGACGTTTTAGTGGCCATTATAGTATTCAATTTAGTGGCTACTTAAGGGGTTAAAAATGAGTGGCCACTATAGAGGCTAGTCAAGGACTACTTGAGAGGAAACTAAAAGGGGCCACTATCTTCCATTTCAGTGGCCACTGTGAGGTTGTCTACTTAGTGGTCACTCCAGTAGTTTTTCATACAGTATTCCTTCCAGTAACTCTGATAATATAATAAAAACAGATTAGACCAGTTATGTTGATCCATTGACCCCTAAAGTGGCCCCTAAAATTTTTTAGTGGTCTAGTAGTAGCACTTAGACCTCTATAATGACCACTAAATTTTTAACTCCTTATAGGGCCACTAATTTGACTAAACTATAGTTGCTCACTAAAAATTTTCCCAATAAGAGAAAAGTGTAGAATGATAATTTTACATTTCCTTTTTAGAATTTAAATTCAATATCAAGTTTTTCAGTTACAAGGGGGACGATTGCAGTACGATTTAGATTGTTTTTAAGAGCAGAAGATATCTGTAGGGTGAGCTCTAAAAGAAGTTTATTTTTCTTCATTTTTGATTTAAATTATTAGATTTTGAATTTGGCTTTCAAGTTTGACAGCTCCCAGAGTGAAAAACGACCTCGAGGAATTTTATTAGAAGTTCTAATAATATGTACTGTAATGGATTTGAAAGATGCCTATAATTATCCTCTTCAGAACAGACTTAGCGAGTAGGATCCAGTCCAACTTTTACCAGTGGTTTGATCAAACCTTTGAGCTCTCCACTCAAAAACGAGTTGATAAAAGGCGTTTGGAACCAAAGGAAGACCTCCAGACAGAAGCCCACAAGCTATTTTGGCCTCGTTGTAGGTCAACTCGGTTTGAACCACTTGGTAGCATCATGAACTTTAGGTTTTAATCTTCCTTCCATGAAGCTCAAAATTTCTGAAAAATTACTGAGAGATAACGAGTGACACGTTAGTGAGCTTTGAGCTTCTAACAAGACTCCAGGAAGTTTTAGAAAAATTCAGCTTTATTTGAGAAATTTAAAACGAGAAGTTTTTCTCCGTATTCTACGTTTTTGAGACTGGAAGTGAAGTTTTTAAAGCTTCTGAAGTTTAATTTGAAAGATTGAAAATTTCCTTTTTTTGAAACTGACAAGACTGAAATCTCCGATACAAAAAATTTCAAAACGACTTTCCATTGAGAAACGTTTTTTGTCCCTTTTTCTGAACACATCTTCGATTTTAACTTTTATATTCTATAAATTTTCGAAATTCCTACTGTTGACGGGTTACTAAAAAGTCCAAAACTGGCGGAATCTCGTTTTTTCTGGATCAGAAGGTTTGAAAATTCTTCAAAGTTCACTCACAAACTTCCATCAGGCGATTGAAGGGAACCATCTGGACAATCGGCACTGATCTTGCCAATCAGGAAAACGACGAAAATGGAAATAGTACGAAACAACATGACGTCGCTGTTCCAGCAGCCAAAACGGGCCCTTTTATCGCCGGTTTTTCCAAGCGATAACATTTGTTTCTTTTATCATTTCGAGTGTACTGTAGCACTGAGACTGATAAAAATGATGATGAGAAATGGAAAGGTCAGCTTGTTATTTACGAAGTCCGTGATTAACACATCAAAAGGGTATCGTGATTGTAGAGACCTTTGAGCGATTTGAAAGAAACCAGTACTTCTCATCAGAAGAATTTCGAAAAGACCGCTTTTGGAAACAGTTAGTTTGTGCTGGATGTCAAATTTCAGAAAGCGTTAATGAATCATTTCCATTTCACGCCCTTTCAAGAAATTACTATTAAACGTGTCGTCCTGAAAATCTTCAAAACACAGTTTGATGAGAAACGTGACGAGTAGATAAGCAGATGATAATCTGAGATAATCGGAGTATAAAAGGAGATCAGATCTGATGGAACGTTTAACCCGTTTGGTCAAGCGACGAAATGGCGTCAATCCGTTCCCTCCCGGCGACGGCATCCAGGACGCCCAACACCGATCGTCTTTCAATGCCCTGTACGACGACGTAAGCACACCTACCACATCAAGGTATCATTAGCGCCTTGAGCTCGAGCTTGTGACTGAGGTTTTGAGTTCGAGCTGAGTCCTGAGCTTGAGCTTGGTCCCATGAAACTAATTTCGTTTCGCAGCTTGGATCTTGAAGCTTAAATTTACAGTTTTGAGCTTGAGGATCTTTCAAACTTTATGTTGGAATCAACAAGTTTTCATCTTGTAGGTGATCAACTCGTCGGCCCGCTGCATTGGCTACGGAATCAAGACGACGAACATGAAGCGTCTGGGCGTCGACCCGCCGTGCGGAGTCCCGACCCTCAAGGAGGCCGTCCTGCTCGCCGTCTCTTGCGACGCGTTCGCCTACGGACAGGAGGTATCTACAGTACTCTGTTGAAAGACAGTGACCAATCGCTTTAGGATCACGAACAACGACCGCATCACGATCGAGTGGACCAACACGCCCGACGGCGCCGCCAAGCAGTTCCGACGTGAATGGTTCCAAGGCGACGGCATGGTCCGCAGGGAAGAACCTGCCCATCGAATACAACCCTTGAGGGAACACTTGAACAGGACTATGTTAAAAAAAAGGATTTTAATGTGTGTGAAAAAATAAATAGGGATTTTAACGCATTTGTTGGTTTTGATTGTGGGTTGGAAGCTGGCGGTTTTGCATTTTTGGTTCTTTGGTATTATGTTTTTCTTGTCAGAGTTTTTCCTCGTTATAAATTCTTAAGGCTATTCCGATAGAAGCTTTTAAAAAAGTTGATCGAATGAAAGAAAAGGAAGCAATAAAGCTTTTTCTAATTTTTCAGCCTTTCTCAGCATTTTTGACTTTTGAATTTTTTCTACTTTTTGGAACATTTCATCGAACTTTGATATGGAATGTCTACCTCAAGCAACTTGGTGCTTAAACGACGGCAGAACCACCAGCGGCCCGGTTAGCTCAGTCGGTAGAGCACCAGACTCTTAATCTGGCTGTCGCGGGTTCGAGCCCCGCATCGGGCTTCAATCACATTTTGGCTTTTTTTTGTAACAGTAAAATTACAAATTATGAAGCTTCCTTGTATATATTTTCTCAAGGAAAACCCCCTGTTTGCATGGAAGTTCTTTAGATTAAACTTTCGAACAATTTTATAAATTTTGTCGAGGTGAAATTTTAAAATTTTCAAAATGAGCCATTTTCTTAATAAAATGGAAATTATCAGATTATTCAAATTCTGTTCCAGAGTGAAAGATTTTATAGATAGAACAGTAGACTGCATTTCCAAGTTCAAAATTTTTATTACATTGTGATTCATTTTTTCATTTCATTTGCCAATGGATAGAAGACCAAACGGTTGGTGAAAAACGTGATGCTCGAATAGTTGCCACAAGAAGAAAAATGGTTTTTTTCGCAAAAGAAAAATCGTGACGGGAGAAGAAACTTGGGAAAAAGAAGATCGTAGATTAGACGTAGACGTTCCGTGGAGAAGAAACGATCCTTTGGACGGGGCACGTTGGCGAGATGACTTCCGTAGCGTTCTTGGAGAAAATTGGTCGATTGTTGCGCGCAACAACGATGAGCTCCACGGCGTTTTTTATTAGTGAAAGAAAATGCAAATCCAAAAATGAAGGAGGCGTGGTTTCGCGGAAATTACTTTGAACGTGGCATGTGCGAGAGCGCCGCGGTGCATGCACACGACACATTACATTTTACGGAATTTTACGGAATATGGGCGGGGCGTCGCTAAAAAAAACGCCGTGGCTCTTCAGATCTACCATGGTTCAGCAGAGTTTTTGATTTCTAAATAAATGAAAAATAAATGAGTGAACCACCATCTCCCAATTTATCACAAATAATCTACGCGCCAAACTAGGAAACGTTTTTACCCCCCGGTTGAACTTTTGAAGAAACTTCGCTGAACCTTAGAACCTCCTACGACTTCGGAGTTCATTCTGACATCAAAGGCAAAATCTCTCAACCAACATCGAACTCGATCCAACTAAAGTCCTCCTTGAAAGCCTTGAAATAAGCTTCAAGAAGCGGTAATTATGATTTAATCCCACCGACCAACTGATCGAATACATCGATACATTGTGCAAAAATTTGGAAGTTATTCAGATTCTATTGAATTTCATTGTTTAGTGAACAGTAATCTTCGTAATTTTTTTGTTGAATATGTTAAAAATATGTGAATAAATTGTTTCATGAAAAGCGATGTACTTCATGACCTTTTTTAAAATTAAGTATGAAGGATTATAAGCCAAAAAACGGCTTTTTTGTCAGTGGAAGAAAATGCGAAACCAATAACACGTTAAGCGGAGCCAAAATTTCCACCGTTCCCAAGTGACGTCATGGGAACGGCAGAGATTTCGGGGTCAACGGGGCTTATTAAAGGCGCAGGCCGTCGTTTTGCCAGAGGTCTTCAAGACGAATCCAAATTTTTTTTACATAATCGCAATTTTCTGCACGAAAGCGGCGTAGTGCATGCACACGACACACGGCACTTTACGGAGAAAAAGTGGGCGTGGCGTCCTCAAAAAACGCCGTGAAAAGAAGGGCTTGAAATTCTCAAAAACTGTGATGAATAAACCATACATACCACTGAAAAAGATGGCATCGGAATTTTAAAAAAACATTTCCATCAACGTGTCATAATTTAAAGATTAAAAAAGATAGGTTGATGACAAAAAAAACGTGACGAGTAGATAAGAGATGATAATCTGAGATAATCGGAGTATAAAAAGGAGATCAGATCTGATGGAAGTTAACCCGTTTGGTCAAGCGACGAAATGGCTCAATCCGTTCCTCCCGGCGACATCCAGACCCAGCCCAACACCAAGATCGTCTTCAATGCCCCCGTACGACGACAAGCACACCTACCACATCAAGGTATCATTGGCGCCTTGAGCTCGAGCTTGTGACTTGAGTTTTGAGTTCGAGCTTGAGTCCTGAGCTTGAGCTTGGTCCTATAGAAACTAATTCGTTTCTGTAGCTTGATCTTGAAGCTTAAATTTACAGTTTTGAGCTTTGAGGATCTTTCAAACTTTATGTTGGAATCAACAAGTTTTTTCATCTTGTAGGTGATCAACTCGTCGGCCCGCCGCATTGGCTACGGAATCAAGACGACGAACATGAAGCGTCTGGGCGTCGACCCGCCGTGCGGAGTCCTCGACCCCAAGGAGGCCGTCCTGCTCGCCGTCTCTTGCGACGCTTTCGCCTACGGACAGGAGGTATCTACAGTACTCTGTTGAAAGACAGTGACCAATCGCTTTAGGACACGAACAACGACCGCATCACGATCGAGTGGACCAACACGCCCGACGGCGCCGCCAAGCAGTTCCGACGTGAATGGTTCCAAGGCGACGGCATGGTCCGCAGGAAGAACCTGCCCATCGAATACAACCCTTGAGGGAACACTCGTCCATTAAATATCATCAAAACGGATTGTTATGTGTGTGAGGAAAAATAAATAAGGGTTTTAGCGCATTTGTTGGTTTTATTTTGGGGAGTTGCATTTCATTTGACCATTCCCCTTTTTATTGCATTCTTGGTTCTCGATCATCATGGTCAAGTTTTTCTTGCCGTAACTCGCCTTTCTATCAATTGTCATTTGAAAAAGACTCTCCGCTATTTAAGCTGGAAGCTTTTAAAGCAAGTTTTTTTCAAGTTTGAAAAGGGACAAAAAAATTTCCTAGTTTTCCCGCCTTTCAGCATTATTCAACTTTTGACTCTTTTCTCTTACAATTTTTCGAATATTTTATAACAGCAATCAACTAAATTTGATATGACAAGTCTACTCTCAAGCAACTTGGTGCGCAAACGCCCGCCGAACTACCAGCGGCCCGGTTAGCTCAGTCGGTAGAGCACCAGACTCTTAATCTGGCTGTCGCGGGTTCGAGCCCCGCATCGGGCTTCAATCACCTTTTTGCTTTTATAGAGTTTTGTAAAGCTTGTTCGTTCATAATCTTTAAAGAGATCTTTCTGAATGGAATTTTCTTGAATTGATCTTTCAAAAATAATTTTAAAATTTTATCGAGTTGAAATTTCAGAATGTTCAAAATTAAGGTTCAAAATAGGCCATTTCGCAAGCTTCTTCCCCCAAATGAAGCAAATTTAGGCTAAAAAAAGGGAACATTTAGAATGGGATGGAATGTTGGGAGCCGAACGACACGCGCCTTATTTGGAGATGAATGCCCCGGAGGCCACGCCTCCTCCAGTCGTCGTGCCACTCGCTCTGCTTCCTTTCTCCGTTTTTTTCCCCTCCTCCTTCCGCCCATTTCCAGAAAAGCTCGAGTGTGTTGGGTTTTATTGACCACATGACTTTACTTACACTCCGAAATACGTCTTCTTACTGAAGTTTTCATGCATTTTTCTGCTTGAAAGCAATTTTTTTTGGTTCATTCAATTGCTTTTTGCTTTTTTTTATTCAGAGAGTCGCTCATTATTCTGAGTTTTTACACCATTTTCTTTTGTCCTCGTTATTTTTTTATAAAGTTTATTTAAAATTCAAGATGTTGAAGACCCATTTGGGTAATTTTCTATCCTTTCAAGACTAGATTTTTTTCGCTAATAATTCAGTTTTTCTTTCCAAAAATATCAAAATCAAAATATTGCAAATAAAAAAATATCTAAAAAAACTAGGCCCTGAAATAAATCCCTGAAATAAGCGTCAAAAAATATACAGCATGACTTGAAACTTTTTAAGGTCAATCTTGTTTTCTTCCAAAAATTTTGGTAGTTTTTGATACCTTCAAATTGCAAATTACAGCTTTCTATGTGCTTTGCAAAAGTTCGGAGAAGTAATTTCAATTTTTCCCTGAACAAACGCCTAATTATTTAACCCTTTTTGCGCAAAATTTTGATTGAAAGTCCACCTCCATGTATTTTATTTGGCGAATAAATTCTTGCAAGGGTCGATTTCTAATCCTTATTGTTTTAATTATGAAACTTAGTTTTTTTGAGCGGAGAAGCTCAAAAAATGAGCACTTTCTGTTTTTCGCTTACTGTATCTTTAACAGTTCATTGCGTACAATACGCCTTCTCACGACAGTTTCTCTTTTTCAGACATGCAATCTCGTTTTTTTTTTTGATTTTCAGTCTTTTTTAATATCGTCTGGTTCATATCTAGTTTCATTTGCACAAAAGATTGAATTTGTGCTTTGCAGGAAGTTTTTCCAAGGATTATGCCATCGAAAAGAGCCGACGATGACGAAAGCAAAAGGATTAAAGTTCAGATTCGGGAAAAAGACTTGGTGAATTTTCGTTTCTTGTGATATTAAGATAATTTGAAGGTTTTTATTGAAATTTTAAGTTATGCGTGAACGGATGCGGTTTTTACGGCACCCCGCAATGGGAGAATCGGTGTTCCAAGTGCTGGCGAGCGCATCAAGTGGTCGTGAAGAGGGACCAGGATTTCGCCAGAAATCGGTCGGTTTTTGGCTTTGGGAAGGAAGGGATACTCTCCAAATTTAACAAATTGTCTTAAAATGCCTAACTTTTGTCAAAAATGGTCAATTTTTCACGATTTTTGTCAGAAATTTCAGGCGATCCAGGTTTTAAAAACGTAGTACTTTCTTACAAAAATTAGCTGAAACTGGATTTTTGCTCATTTTCTCAAACAAATTGTTTCAATAAGTTTAATCATCCTTGTATTCTCCAGGGAAAAATTAAATCGGATGACTTACACCGCGCTTTTTTTCCTTGAAGTCCAACAAGTTATGAATTCTCTAGAGAAAATATCATTTCGAATTTCTTTTTTAGTGCGCGTTTTTAGTGTGATAATGAGCTTTTTCTAACTCAAAAAGTTCATTTTTCCGTTTCTTTTAAAGCACTTTTTGTCATGCAAATGCGGACTTTTTATAAAATTTTGGCTAGCTTCTTAGGTAAAAAAAGTATTTTTATTCATTTTCCTTCCACAGAAGGCTTGTTACCATATGAACTAATTTTTGATGTTTGAGTGATTTTTCATGCACTTTTTGGCTTGATGATATGATGTTTGTTGACAAATTGGCTTGATAAAAAAATGATTTTGTTGATTTTTTTCTTCAAAACCTGTAAGTTTTCATTATAATTTTAATGTTTTTAACAGTATTTTATGGAAAAAAACATTCATTTTAAAGATTCGGAATGTACTCTTTGTCATGTAATTATGGATTTTTTTGGTTGTTTCGATTGAAAAAAACTTGCCTTTCTTGCAGATTTTATCAAGTTTTACCCATTTTTTTGTTCGAAAAAAATTCAAATTTTTCTCTTTATTTTTGCGCCTAAAGTCACAAGATTCACACTAAATAATCTCTTTTCTTCGAATTTTTCGTTTTCAGAACCCTCCTAAGCTTCGACCAGTTCCAAGAAAGACGGAAAACGACGCTGGAGAACCGGATGAGCATTAAAAGGCTTTACGGATCGACTTCTAGCCTCCTCGCCTTCGAGTAGGGGGCTTTTTCTTGAGAAAATTTTAGGGAGAGTTTTTTCTAGCTTGATGGTTTGGTTGATTTTAGAGAGTTTTTTTTGGGTTTTTCAGCGATATTTTTGATAAAAATGCTTTTTCATAGTATAAAATTATACTTGTCCATTGTGAAAAATGGCGGTTTTGACAATTTTAATTTTTCCGGCTTCTGGTTCAAGTTTTTTTGTATCATTGGTAACATAGGCAAAGTCAAAAAGTGGAAAAACGGCTCCATTTTTTGGGCTATTTCATTGGCTGTTTTGGACCCTTTTTGCCGCCTTTTTGCACCATTTTCATTGGCTGTTTTGAACCTTTTTTGCTGTCTCTCCCTTTTTCCATCATTTTTTGAGCTTTTCAAATCACAGAAAGGATGGAAGGTTCGATAGAGGGACCCTTTTTGCCGCCTGTTTGCTGTCTTTTTGCTGCCTTTTTGCGACCTTTTTTGAGCCTCTCCTTTTTAGCGGTCATTATCCACCATCCGGACTTTTACCGAGCAAGAGAAAATCAATTTCAAGTGGAAAAATTTGTTAGATTAACCAGTTTTTGTGTAGATTTCTTTAGCCATGATATGAAAATTTACAAAATTATTATACCTCAAAAATTCAAGCTTGCCAAGGAAATTTATCGAAAGGCTTTGTTAAATCTTTCTTATTCAAGATTTTAGGGTTTCTTTTCTCATAAGGAAGTCGTCTTCTCTCTTTGAAAATGCCAAGAAAAAGTCTGACTAATCATCTTTTCTCATTATTTCTCTTCCCCGAAGAATGTTTTTCTTGGAAGGAGAGAGAGAAATGATTGATGGAACGAGCAGCCCCGTAATGAATGCTTATTGGGGCATTCATTGAATGATTCACATTGAGCCTTTTGATTGATTTTCCGAGAAATGGGAAGGTTGATTTGAATGGACTAAAAGGGTAAAAGTTTGATCTTTGAAAGAAGGGTCATTTTTGAATTAAAGCTTAAGGAAAACATTTTTTATCGAAAGAACATAGGCAAAGATCATAGAAAGTTTCCCTTTTTGCGCCATTTTCTCGGCTGTTTTGCACCATTTTTGCTGCCTCTCTCCTTTTCCAAAAAGTCCTCGCTAAATTTTTTCGATGTTTTTATTCAATTCGATGGAAGGTATTTATTACTAGATGGATGGAAGATAAATTGAAGGAATTGAATGAAAAGGAAAAAATGAAGAAAAATATATGATTTGAAACGTATTTAGGCGGGTTTCTAGACACATGATATGATATGTTGAAAATGACTGAAACGTGTTTTTTGAGATTTAAAGGTGTTAGAATCGAGGTTTTAGGGATTTCTAGACTTTCAAACTGGTTCAAAGTAAAGAGAAGCACTGTTTCTAACCGTATTTGTAAGTTTCTGCAAAATTGGAAAAGTTGGAAAAGGCTCCATAGAAATGTTCCTGTTTTGCTGCCTTTTTTCGCCATTTTCTCGGCCCTTATGTACCATTTTTGCTGCTTCTCCCATTTTCCATCGTTTCTTGACCCTTTGAAATCCCATAAAATGTGGGAGACTTGATAAAAGGACCCTTTTTGCTACCTTTTTGAGCCACTTTTCCGATTTTGCCCGAGTGAAAAAAGGAAAATTGGCTAAACTATATGAAAAAATATATTTAGTCATGGCTTCTTGACGTTTTCTAACATATCAAAACTTCCTTATCATCAAAGAAACCCTTAAAAATCCACAAAAAAAGGAAATGTATAGAGATTACTTCCAAATAGTTGGGGGCGTTAATGCGGGATCTATTTGGAGCTGAATCCTGGCTTTGCTTAATTTTTTCAAACTCAGATAGCTAAGGTAGGGACTGAAAGATCTAATGGATGTTTGAATAGAAAAAGGGATTTTTCCAAAAAGTTAAAACGTTGGATCATTTCAAACCGAGTTGAAAAAAATTTTTGCGTTTTTCCTGTTTTTCCTCACGTTAAAATAACCATTCAATTTTGATTTTTGAATAGAAATTCCTAGACAAGGAAGTAATTTTTCGCCAAACTGGCTTATCTTCCCATGAATGGATATAATTAGAGGATATTATCTTTTTTATTCCAAAGATCTTAACTTTCCCATTTTTTCTTTTTTTTTATTGTACATCTTGTTCCTAGGGGAAGAAAAAGATTGAATTTTGGTTCTATTTGTTTTTCGCAGACGTTTTTTTTTGCTTTCCTTAGCCCCCAGGGCAAACCGAGATCGAATCTGCGAACTTAATCGCTTTTCCGTCTTTTTTCCTTCTTCTAATGGGAAACTCCCACGATTGGCGGAAATTTGAAGGTCTTTTTGAATGGGGAAAAGATAATCGTTTTACTGGAAATGACTTGGAAACACAGGTTTCCGGAAATGAAGGGAAATTGGAAGGTTAGGGGAAAATAATGAAGGTGTTCAAGTGGAAAATTAATGGACAGGTGGAAAGGGATATAATTATCTTCACAGGAAATCGCTTGAAGAAAATTAACATCAGATTCAAAATACTTTTTTTACTGTGAATCTTTCGAAATGGCCGGATTGAACTAAAAATTTAATTTTGAAAAATCGCATAATTTTTGTACCCAAAATGAACTGCTACAATTTTAAATTTTAAAAAAGCACATTTTACATTTTCAATTGTTTCGAAACGTCAAAATTAGAATGCCTAATGTAACAAAGGTAGTGAATTTCCCAATTAAAGATCGATTTTTGAAAATTGGAATGCCAAGAAGTTTTTATTAAGAAGCGAAAAATCACAATAAATTAGAAGAAAGTATGATTCAATAGCGAGAAAATTTGATGGAAAAATGATTTTTCGATTCCTTTTTATGGTATTATAATAGCATCGCTCGGGTAAATTCGTAATGATGGATAATGGCCGCTAAAAGGGAGAGGCTCAAAAAGGCCGCAAGAAGGGAACAAAAGGGCAGCAAACAGAGTTTTTGGAGCCTTTTTCGACCTTTTCCGACTCCCATTATTAATTTCTAAAAAAAGTGAAGTCTTCAATTACCAATTAGAAATATGAATTCTCGTTTTGACCAACGGAAACGCTATTATGATACCACGAAAAGGATCAAAAACCATCTTCCATTCCATTTTCACGCTGTTGAATCATCCGATTTGTAAAACTTTCCAATTTTCAAAAGTTCGTTCTTTAAATTGAAAAACTCTCCCCTTGAATGAAAGTGGGTTTTTTGATTCCTGTTATTGTAGCGTTTCCATTGGTCAAAACGAGAAATGTCTTGAGATGATTCGAAACAGAAAAAATGTGGCTTTTTATCTTGGTTCCTTCGTTATTTTTCATGAAAATAGCGAACGTCTTCAATTACCAATCAAAAAAATATGGATTAGAAAAACTGGAGTTGATTATGAGCTTCATTTTATAAATTATTCTTCAAAATTTAGTTGGATAATGGAAGTCATGTTGAAGGCGATGAAAATCTCATCTTTCAGTCGACAATCTCCCGTCACCGAGCGGTTCTGGCCCCACGGCTTCTCCAACTTCAACCTCTCCCTCTGCCACTCCCATTAGGTAAAAAAAGATTTTTGGCCAAGATAATAACCTTTTCAAAACTTCAAGTGTGGCTTTTTCGGATCATTTTTGAAGATAATAAGCTTCCTTTTTTGTGGCGGGAAGGGCAAATTGGTTGGTTTTTGAACGGCGAACCTTTTGGTTCGAGAAACGAGGAATTGCTCTATTTTTTGTCCGAAAAGTGCAGTGGACAAAGGGATAGACCTTTTAGTTCAACTTTTCGATGGGAAAATTGGGAACAAGTGGTTTTTCCAATGGTTTCTTATAAAGTGACCGGAAAGGAATGAATTTTGATTCCAGGGGTTTTTACCCACACTCTATCGATCTATACTACCTGCGCCCTTTTAGAGAAAAAAAACTCTCCCAGAATTTTTGAAAATTCATGAAGTTGTACCATTTTTGATGCTTGAAAATCCAAAAAAATTCAGAAAAATATTCCATTTTTTTCAAAGAGAAAAATTAACTATTCTGCGTCAGAAAAAGCTTAATAAATAATTCATTTTCACTTGGAACTGAAAAATAAGGAATTTTTCCCTTTTCAAAAAGGTCTAGAATTACGAGAAGATCACTGAACATCGAAATTTGATACTTTTTCGGTAAAAGGGCCCCGGAAAGTTATGAATTTTCATCAGAACTACAGTTTTTTTTATAATCAATTCACGCTTAAAATGTCATATTCGAAAGATGAAGGAACATAATTTGGATTTAGAGCTCAAGAAAGTTCTTTCTCATCGAAAGAACATAGGCAAAGTAGGAAGGGTTCAGAATTTTCCTTTTAGGGTGATAAAGGCTCCTTTTTTGCGCCATTTCATCGGCTCTTATGCACCATTTTTGTTGCCTCTCCCCTTTTCCAAAAATTCCTCGCTAGATTTTTTCGATGTTTTTATTCAATTTGATGGAAGGCATTTAGTACCTAGTGGATGGAAGATGCACTGAATGAAAATGAGAGAAATGAAGTAAAATATATGGTTTGAAACGTATTTCGGCGGGTTTCTAGACACTCAATACTTGATATGTTATGTTAAAAATGATTGAAACGTGTTTTTAGAGATTTAAAGGTGTTAGAATCGAGGTTTTAGGAATTTCTTGATTTTCAAACTGGTTCAAAGTAAGGAGAAGCACTGTTTCTAACCACATTTGTAAGTTTCTGCAAAATTGGAAAAGTTGGAAAAAAGCTCCATAGAAATGTTCCTGTTTTGCTGCCTTTTTGCGCCATTTTATCGGCCCTTATGCACCATTTTTGCTGCCTCTCCCTTTTTCCACCTTTTCTTGACTCTTCAAAATCCAGAAAAAATGAAAGGCTTGATAAAGGGACCATTTCTGCGACCTTTTTCAAGCCTTTTAGCAGCTATTATTCACCATTCCGACTTTTCCTGAGAACCTATTTTTTTCCTCCTGCTTCCGGGAAAAATATGACAAATTCCCTTCCTCTGCACTTTTTCCATGTGCATATTTACGTGCAATTTGGCCTTTGATGCTTTGGAATGAGGAATGGAATAAATTGAGCCAATTCGAGTTTTTTTCTGAGGGAAATTAATGGTTTATGTACAAGAAGGGAAGCGCAGAAAACATGGCTTCTCATTCAAAAATTTTGAAAAATGGTCGGATGAAAATTTATTTTGAAAGACGATTTGAGTCTCTGTGAAAGCCATTCATCGTCAAGGAATAACGATTTAAAAATTTTTGAATTTAAAGATATTTTTTTGAGTTTCTTCGATGTGAAAATGCCATTAATGACCTCAAAATTCTTAGAAAAACTCAAATTGGCTCCATCCAAAGCATCAAAGGCTGAATTTCACGTAAATATGCATGCGAAAATAGTGCAGAGGAAGGGAATTTCTCCCTTTATTTGGATATTTAAAAAGAGAAAGGGTTTTGAAATGAGTCCAACCCCTATAGGGGCCACTAAAGCTTGCAAAAGTAGCCCCAGTGGGGTTTTATTTAGTGGCCCCTATGAGGGACATAATATATCCTAGGATCTCCAGAAGAGTGGTCCCTGTAGAGACAACCTTAGGGACCTTCTAGGGACCACTTCAAATACCCCTATAGGGGCCACTAAAGCTTGCAAAAAGTGATCCCTATAGGGAACATTCTGGTCGATAATTGTTATGAACTCAAAGCGAAGTAGCATTTCCATGGGGAAAAAAACTGAATAAATACGCGTTTTTCGAATAAAAATTGAGAGACCCCTATAGGGTCCACTTGAGCTTTAGGGGCTAAGGGGTCAAGCCTTAAACTCCTATAAGGACCACTTTACCACTATAGGGACCACTTTTTTGGCCCCTATAGGGGTTGTTTTTTGCATAACCTCTCTAGGGACCACTCGGAACTCTTGTTCAGTACTTTGATCCAAAAAACTTTCGATTGGAAACTTTCCATAAACCGCAAAAATGTATCAAGTTTCCATGTTCGTCCAGTAACTCTAGACCTTTTTGGAGGGGGAAAGTCTCAACTTTTTTTTTCAAAGGGTTAAGTTTCAAAATCAATTGTTTGTGATGCATTTTTGATCAATATAGAGTATCGTGAAACTAGAAAAGACCTTTTCGAATCGGATTTTTAAAAAAGGCACAAAAGTTTATTTTCTAGTGGATTTTTTAAATTACTACGTCTCCAACCTACTGGGAAACGCTGAAGTGGCCCCTGTAGGGAGAAAAAAACCCTCCAGAGGTCACTATGGGACCCCCTAAATTTCAAAATCCCTTTAGGACCCCCTTGAACTTTTCACAGTACGTTATCTCCATCGAGAATCGTTAAAAAAACAGCGAGGCTGGGATATTTAAAAAAATGTTAAAATGGATTATTGATAAATGTTGGAGAGGTTGAATGGATAGGAGATTTTTTTGATTTTTTTCGAGGAAAAATATTTAATTTTTTTCATTAGCCAGGACATTCCAAGGCTTTTCAATGTTCTTTTGAATGAACTTTATCCAATCTAAAAGTTCATTAGGGCTTGAATAAATGAAGAGTGGCAAGGACTCCGTAAACAATAAAAATTCAATTTTGCGGTTATTTTAAGTGTTGGATAAGTAGAGTGGATTTCCCCATTTTCTGATATTTTGAAGAATTTCAAGGCTCTTCGAATTTCCTGTGCATTTTTCGAGAAAAATATTCTATTTTCCGTTCTCCAGGACATTTTTCTTGGTTGTTGATGTTTTGGGCATCGTTTGACGTGCTTTTCCGTGCCCCCTTGGACTAATATTTTGGCCCTTTTTTCAGTTTGAAGAGCCTAGTTTTTCTGGAAAGGGGTTTTGAGAAAAAATGAGGGTGAATAGTAGTTTGGAAGATTGTATGATGAATTGAAGGAAACGTCAGAAGCTGGAAAAAAAAAGTATTGAACCTTCAAAGAGAGCCTTACAATTGAAATCTGTTGAAAAAGGGAGTGACTGCAAAATGGCCGCTAAAAGGGTCCCTTTTTACGACCTTTATTGAACCTTTCTTTCTTGGTGGGCTAAAAAGAGTCAAAAAGGGTCAAAAAAGGGCTCTGAAAGTCCTGCTATTTCCGATTTTATTACTGTAGCATATTTTGGTTCATACACAGTCCCTTGTAAAAATTATTCTCAATTTAAAAATTTTTTTATTTCTCAAAAGGGTCCAAAAAGGCTGGATAAGGCCGATGGAAAGACGGAAAAAGGCAGTAAAGAAACCATTGCCACCCGTTTAGGAACAATTAATGGAAACAGACTGATCCATAACGGACCCTCGAAGGGCCCGTGAAGAGTTTTCCCGACTTTGCCTATGGTGGAAATATTTTTGGATGCGAATAAATCATAGGCAAAGTCGGAAGGACCCTTTACGGGCCCCTGGAGGGTCCGTTATGGATCCAAACGGTTTCCATTAAATTTTCCTGAACGGTTCCCTTTTTACTGCCTTTTTCCGTCCTTTCATCGGCCTTCTTCCACCCTTTTTGGACCCTTTTGAGAAACAAAAATTTTTTAAATCGAGAAAAATCTTTACCAGTGACTGTGAACCAAAATATGTTACAGTAATAAAATCGGAAATCATCAATAGCAGAGTCTTTCAGAACCCTTTTTGAGGCTTTTTAGTCCATCAAGAAAGAAAGGCTCAATAAAGGCCGTAAAAAGGAACCCTTTCAGCACCCCTTTTGTACCCTTACCCTTTCTTGACCCTTTTTGCAGCCTTACTCTTTCTTGACCCTTTTTTAAGGCTTTTTAATCCACCAAGAAAGAAAGGCTCAACAAAGGCCACAAAACGAAACCCTTTTAGCGGCCATTTTGCACCCGTTTTCCGCACTTCCGATTTTGGCAGTGTAATTTAGACGAAAATTAATATTTTTCATTAGAAAATGAAGTACAAAACCAACCAGGTTATTAAGTGTGGAATAACCTTTTTTCTACCTGGGAATATTTTCCAATCCCCCAATTAATTTTTTGTAGTTTTGAGCGTTTGTAGACTACAAAACGCATAGCGGAAAGGTTTTTCTACTCAACTTTCTCAAGATTTCCGTGAGAGAAAAAAAGCTTCTGATTGTAAATTATTTATGCCGCGAAAGCTTCTTCGAGACCTTTGGAATAATAAAATAAAGTAAGAAAGTTTTAGGGGTTTTTGGCGCGATTTTTGAAGAAATGGAGGGAAAAAAATAATAATTGGATCAGTACTTAATCAGTTATAAAAAAGCCAAAAACTTCCTGGAAATTCATTTTTCAATATTTTTATGAATTTCTGGCATTGAATAAAGTTCATTTAAAGGATAGTAGAAAGCCTCAAAACTGGAAAAAAGGAAAATGTCATTCCTAATGGGGTGAGGGAAGGTGAGCGAGGCGTCAAAGTTTCTACAAAAAAAAAGTAAGCGGATAAAATGACGTCATACACTGAGTATTCAACGTTATTAACTTGTTTGGCTGCGTACTCGAGATTTGAATTTTCGCGCCAAATTTTTTTTTTTGACGTCTTTTCACCCCATTCGGGAACGCCGTGATCGGAAGAATCGAAGAATTTTAAGAAAAAAATGGTCTTTTCCGTGATTTCATCTTTTTTTTTTTGGAGTTTTTTGGAACAGTTTTTAGCTCGAATTCACGTAAATCGGTGATTTTTTTCAGACGACGTGAGCTTTCACCGGAATCTCGAGCCGCTCGAGAAGCTCTAACCGATTTTTTGGTCTCGAATTTGCCAACTTCGATTGTTCAAGAAGTGACGAGACAGGTCAAGCATGCGGTTAACAAGATTTTCGAGGTTGGTGTTTTAATAACGAAAATCACACAAAAATAATTTTTTTCTCAGAATTTCGTGTTTTTCAGGACTCAGTAGCCTAAATAAACTTAAAAAAATATTTTTTTCGAAGAGCGAAGTTTTTTAAAAGGGTATCTCAATTCCGATTAAAAATTTTGCTAATGTAAAATATTCTAATAGCGCTTGAAGCTTCAGCTTTCTTTCAAAAAAATTGAGTTTAGAAGTTTGATAAAAAAACTTGAAAAATTAGTTAAAAATCAAATTTCGCATTTGAAGGGTTTTTCAGTAAAATAAAAATGACTCTCAGAGAGTGAAAAAAATGAAGGCTAACAACGGAGGTTACTTTAAGGAAAGCCTGGAAATTCGCCTATCCTACGATTTCTGTGACTGAATGAAATGTTTATTTCGCTCACAGACAGACTGGATAATTTTAAAAGTCTAAAAAGAGGAATTTTCACGTTCTAAAATTGTGAAATATTGCATTCGTTGGTTGCCGATCAAAAAGTGGGCTTTCACGTATGAAAACTTAACTTTTACTTTATTTCTACGTATGACAACTTCATTTTTATTCTTTCTTCATTTTTCTGACCCTCCTAACATTGGAATATACGTTTCGGGACCTTTTAAAATGACGAACTTTATTAGTTTCAGTCGATGCCATGTAATAGAATGGACCCTTCTGCCAGTACCCATCTCAAAACCTTGTAAAACTCCCAGATTCATCTGAATCATCTCTATTATTTACTAGCTTTTTATCATTCTTGAAAGATTCCCATTTTTCGAAGTCATTTTTATGTTGATCATTTTTCACTGTTTCCACATCCTGGCAGGCAGGCTTGTGCGAGGGCCGGCCCGTCAGCCTCCCGGCCCCCCTGACCATTTTGTTAGCTTGGCCCGGCACGGCCTTAGCGGAGGCCTCAAGAAAAAATGGCCCGCCCGGCCCAAAACGCGCAATTTTATCTAGTCGGATATCAAGCTTTTTTACGACAAAAATTACGTTTTTGCTCATTTTTTCATTTAAAGTTTAACAAAAACTATCATTTCAAAAGTAAAAGTAAAATTTCGGTGAAAATTTTTTGAATGAAATTTTAGGCCGGGCCGCCTGGCCTGACGCACGAGCCTGCTTGCAGGGAAGGTAATTTTACTTTGTGTTTGGAAATTTCCTGAAAATCGGCACTCCTTGAAGGTAATTCTGGAATTCCCAACCTGCACAACTTCCTATTTTTTAATAAAAGACGCCTGAAAGTCGAAGAAAATTTCAAAACCAATTTTTAAAAAAGCTGTTTTGAGCTCTTATTTTTTCGAAAACTAGGAAGTTTTGCAGGTTGAGACCTTCAGAATCTTCATTTGATACATCAAGAAGTATTCTGGCCGATTTTCAGAAAATTCCCAACCGCAAAGTAAAATGACCTCCCCTGTCAGAAACCATAATAAATTTTTTGGAAAAAATTTTTCAGCAGCAAAAATCTTTCTTACTACGCATTTTTGTTTTTTTCAAGATCGAAATCTATATTTTGAAGCTCCGAGTGGCGCCCGAAGATTTGTCGGTCTCCGTTCAAGGCTTCTACCAATACATGTTCGATAAACTCAACAATTCGCCGTTTTTCGATCATGAAAGTGGGTTTTTCGGATCTAATTAGCTTATTAGTTCATATAATTAGCATGATGAATTTTTCAGAATGCCAGGTGAAGCCGCAAGATGTGATGGAGGAAATCGAGAAGTATATTTGCACCTGCTGCTATCCCCAATTGTTCTGCGCCAGGTGAATCATTGAAGTTGTAAGTCAAGGAAATGGGTTTTCAGGGAAAATTTTGAAAGGACCCTTTTTTGAATGAACCTTTCATAAAGGGACCCTTTTTTGAAATAAATGGATTTTTAGGTTTTTTGAAAAAAGAGACTTGATTCCATAGTAAAAATGAAAAAATAGGAAAAGTCGGTGGAAAAGGCTCCTTTTTTGCTGCCTTTTTGCACCATTTTATCGACCCTTATGCACCATTTTTGCTGCTTTCCACCATTTCATGACCCTTTAAAATCCTAGAAAAATGGTAGGCTTGATAAAGAGACCCTTTTTGCTGCTATTCTTCGGCCTTTCTGCGACCTTTTTGCAGCCTTTCTGTGGCCTTTTTTTCGAGCCTATCCCTTTTAGCGTCCATTATCCAACCTTCCGACTTTGCCTGAGAATTTACTTTGATTCAATTTCAAAAAGAGTAGTTAAAAATTATGCCTTTCCAGCTCGGACGAAGAAGTTGCCGATGAATCTCTACAAGACAGGATCAGATCCTTGCACTGGGTTACCGCCGGATTCTTGGAAACTCGGCTGGACTTCAAAAAGCAGCCGGTTCGTTGGCAGTGAAAAAAACATAACATATTAAATTTGAATAAAATAGGTTTTTTTAATCTTCTTGAAACTTTTTGAAGAGAGAAACGGTGAAAAGACTTCTAAAAAGTGAACTTTTCACAGCTTTTTTTATGCGTTGCCCTTCTTTAGTTGGCTGGGAAAGGATATTTCGGAAAAAAACCTTTTTTTCAGAGCGGTGTTGAATTATGAATATAATGAGCATTTCGCTGAAAAAAACAGATATTATATTTGAAAACGAAATTTTTTTTGAGAAAGGTGAATTTTTTTAACGTTTGAAAAGAGTACCTTTATCGATACGAGTAAACATCTTAGATCCGAATTATACATTTTTTTCTCTGGGTCGCAATCGATTTTTAGGTTCCTTAATGCTTTCGGAAACTACCATTCATTTGAATAAAATGAACTTAATTTTCGGCGAAGGTAAAGAATTCAATTATTGGGCACTTTTTTATTGTGTTGAGGAAGAAGATTTTGAAATAGTTTTTTTATTTCCACCATAGGCGAATCGAGAAAGGGTGTCGCGAGATCCTCTGAGGTATATCGCAGGCTCTGAAGCCTCACGATGGTACCTCTGAGGGTTTTGAGCAAAATGAGAGAGACTCTGAAGTACCTCCGAGATGACTCAGATTCAGCTAAAAGGTATTCTGGAGGTTTCACGACCCATTTTAAGAGGTACCTTTGTGGACACTTTATGGTACCCTCTCGATTCGCCTGCGACCAACAATATCAATACTATCAAGATCGACATATTTCTCAGGTCCGTGACCGATTGGACGAGGCGATCGGAGAGATTATCGAGTTGAATGGCAGAAGATCGACCGAGGAGAAGTTGAATTGCCTTGTTCGATGTTCACATTTCATTTTTTCGGCTTTGAGTGAAAGCGGTTCGATTTTCATATTTTTTGATAAGAAACTTTGAGCCAAAAAGTAGAACATTGATAATTTAAAAAAAGGGGGTGGGCCGCGGTTTGAGAGGTTAGGCCGCACCCCGGGGTGGGATTCAGCCGACGAAATTGTCATCAAAATTTTTTTATAGATCATCCAGCCGACGTATGTCCCATCCTTCAAGAACCTTTTCCAGGAGCCCCAACTTCTGCCGACGAATTCTTGCCAGTTCTAATCTTCATTTTGCTGCGCGGAAATCCGCCGTTGATCCAGTCAAATGTCAAGTTCATCAGCCGTTTCGCCCTGCCTTCTAGGGTCATGAGTGGAGAATCTGGTCGGTTTCGAATGAAAATCAATGAAAAAATCGATATATTTAGCATATTTCTTCACGAATCTCTCGTGTGCTCTCCAATTCGTACAGGACATGAATCATAACAGCCTGAAAATGGAGCGGAGCGAATTCGAAGCCTACACTTCGGGACAGTTGGCGCCTCCCTTGAATGCAGCCAATTGCGCTTGTAATCAGGTATTTTTCAAATGTGCACGACAACTACAATGAGAGAGTGAAAAAGGATTTCTTACGAGTATTTTTTTATAAAAAGAACAGATTTTTTTATTTGATTTTTAAGGTTAATAATGTAAAGATTTCCTTTCTGAGATGCGTAATATTTTCCTTCTAAATAAGAGTTTGAGCATTTCCAACACTTTTTTTCAGGCCTTATAAAGTTTTTTTACAAATCATTTTTGTGTAGAAAATTTCAACTTCTGAGGCCTAAAGATCAATAAAAATTTTTTTCCTTTTCTGGAAGCTTCTCTATAAAAAAATTGGGGTGTACCCCGAAAAAGTGATGTTTTTCGTTGATTTTTGCGCTGCACCCCGCGTTGAACCTGAATGGGGTGACCGGTCAGAAATAAAAACCTTTTTAGCTACCGAAACGACCCAGCCTGAAACGGTAGAAAATGGTGATATTGGGAAACAAGCCGCTTCGAAATCGTGTACGGAAAAAAAAGTACCTTAATAGGCATTTAAAGCTAAACGGGGTGCACCCCCTGATTACACTGCGGGGGAGTTCGATGTGGGGTGCACCGCAACTTTTGTTAGAGGCTCAATACACTTTTTTCAAACCAACAGTTTTTTACAGGCCATAAACATGATCGAAAGCGCCCTGGACCGCGTTAAGTTATTGATGGACGAACAACAGCAACTTTTTCAGCAAAATCGATCAGTTGGAACGGAGGGTCACTGTGTTAGTTTTTTGTAATAAAATGTATTTTCTATAAAAGTTTGTTTTAAGTGAAGAAGCTGAGTTGGTCTCGGAGTTCAGCAGAATCGCGACGAGCTTCCCCAGCGAGGAGTACAAGCGGCTTCATCAAACGGTTCGTTTCAAAAAAATCAGGAGCAAAATTCAAAAAAATGAACTGAAATAATCAATTTTTTTCCCGAAATGTGTTTGTAAATAAGTCAATAAGATTGCATTGCAAATTTTTGGCTTTTTATAAAACGAAATTGAATATTTTTTTCAAACACTTGGTGAAAAGCGTACTATTTTTCTTGCACACGGCTGACCGTATTTTTATCATATTTTTATGAAAGATTGCAGTTTTTTTGTTCGTAAAATAAACTCCATTCTCTTCAGATCCGCGAAGAGGAGAAGCTGACGATGGACGCGATGTCGCGCTTCTCCCGGCAGTCTTCTGACTCGGGCCATGGAACTCTGACGGTGGCGGGCACGGCCAGCGCCCCCGGGAGTCCCCAGCCACAACTCGAGCCGTCTTCTCAGTCTCCCTTGGCTGCTGTCTCGGGACAAACTCCGAAGAAAGTTGAAAAGGAGGAAAACGAAGGTGAATAGGAGTACTAAGAAGAAGAAAATATCGTAGAACATGAAGAAAAATGTTCATTGATTCAAATAAGCTCTTCAGTGGTGTTGGATGTTTCATCACCAGGATTTGTAAAAAGAGAAATTTAAAGAACGAAGATAAAAATTATTTTCTAGAAAATTGACAAATTGTGCTTTTCAAGAACTTGAACACTGCTTTTTTGTTAGTGGAAGAAAATGCAAAACGAAAAATTAAGGGGGCGTGGTCAAAATCTCCGGCGTTCCCATGTGACGTCATGGGAAAAAAACGCGTAAGCAACAGGAAATATTGAAGGGTTTTTGAGACGAATCTATTTCTCATTTAAAAAAAACGCGATTTTTCTGTTTTTTTAAAGGCGTCCTAGAGCGCCGCAGTGTATGCACACGATACACTAAATTTTACGGAAAAAAATATGGGCGTGCCAAAAAAACGCCGTGTGAAGCGAGGAGGCTCTTTAAAAAGAAGAAGAAAAAAAGCCAGTGATAAATTAAAAAAATTTGAAGAGTTTTTTTAAGGGGTTTTTAAATAGACTAAATTATATTATGTTCTGAACTAGAAACGGAGATTTTTCGTGCATGAGTAACTTGAACATACACCCAACATAATTGCCGATATCGCAGCGGGCCGCACGCGATATAGGCTGTGGCGTCTCTTTATTAGCTGTGAGGCTAATTCGAAGGCGCTTCAAATGAGTGGTTCAGTGGTTTTTGAGTTTAGAATGCTTTCTTGTGCGTTTATCTGCGAGCTTGAATTTATAAGTAGTTTATTAGTCAAGTGGCAAATTATAGTAAATATAAGAGGGGGAAAAGGGGGATAAATGGGATAAAAGAAAGAATAGAAAAAAAGTGGTTGCAACGGCTCTATTGAGCCGACCAGAGCTTTTTATAGTCTCTGAAGAAGGTGGGGTTTAGTGTATCATTTCGAGTAGTTTCGAAATGATTGCGTGGGCGATCCATCGGTTTGAGCTGCTTCGTCGGTGATCAATCTTTGGGGATTTCGTAAGATTGCGAGAGGGGTTTATATTTAGATTTAGTCGGGTAGATTTGGGTAATTAATCAATGCTGAGTCATGGCAGTGATTGCGAAAGATTTCATCTCTTTCGTGATCTTTGTGTTAAGAAAAGAATAGTTTCTCGCGATCCGCGATACTCCCGGGGCGCAATGAATCCATTTCAAGTAATTGAGGAGACGAAAACAACAATGGATAAAAATTCATGAGCTTAATTATTTCAATAACAATTTTCGTTGTTAAAAGGTTTATAATCAACAGTGTCACGCAATTAACACGAGTGAGGGGGACAGTAGAACGCAAAAAAAGGGGAGGGGAGAGGAGAGGGAGAGAGAGTAGCCCTTTACTGCATGAGCGAGCTTCGAGCCATGCTCATTTGGGCTGTTTGTTGATTGAGGGGAGACAATAAGTTGTGATCTGGATTTGTTCTACCTTTTTCGGTAAGGATCCTTAAGTCAGCGGTTGTTGCATACATATTTTCGGATGCGTCCGAGAATATTACCAGATCAATAGACTTGGTTTTATCTTTAGGAATAACCAATCTGGGTATGAGAAGATTGCACTTCTCTACTGTCTTTTGAAAAGATTGAAATTCTTTCACGTGATCTGCTGCTGTCACATCGTCCCATTTTGCTGTGGGATTTTCGAAAAGTTTTGGTAATAAAAGTTTTCCTTGGACGTATAAAGGCGCAAATAGGCCTATTGGGTCAAAAATTCCTGCGATGTACCGTAGGACTTCTCTTCGAGTAATATCTACGTGCTCCATGCTCTGGGGAATTTTTACCTTTAATTTATCAGTAGCCGTGTTCCATTGATAACCTAACAGTTTTTGAGTTTCTGTTTTGCTCAAGTCTTCCTTCGGGATTTCTTTTTGAATTCTTGGGTCATTACTTGCATATTCCCTCAGGTTCATGCTAATATTTTTGAAAAGTTCTTTGCTTTCTTTATAAAGACCTTCTGGTCGTTCTTCATTATCGTACATCATGAAAATGTTATCCACGTATAAATTGTGGTCGACTGCTTCGGTTACTCGGCTTTTTTCTTTCATTTGTTCCACATAATGTTTAATGCTAGCTGCCAATAGAAATGGGCTTGCATTTACCCCCAAAAAGGTATTCTTGTGAAATCTCATTGTTCTCACGTTATTTTTCTTCAGTAGGTTTGGTGGGGTTTTTTTGTACCAAAAAGAATCTGGTACAATCTCTGTCTTCCTTTCTCAATGTAATTTGGTGGAACGCTTTTTTTCAACGTCTGCTATCAGCAAGTTTTTTTGCTGTGAAGCTTCGTAAGATGATTCCTACTAAGTCGGGTAAAAATGACTGGTCCTTGGTGGATTGCGTCATTCAAGGAGTATTTTCCTTTCATATGTGCTGATGCGTCGAAGACTATTCTGGCTTTAGTTGTGCTTGAGGTCATGTTTATGACAACTTGATACGGTATGTAATAGTGAGGACCTCCTGGGACCGAACTTTCCTCTGTTACTTCTTCCATGATGCCAGCTTCCTCGTGTTCTTCGAAATTTTTCACAACTTTGTCCCAATTCTCCCTACATTTTGGGGAATCTTTCTGTTGTACAAATCTTCGCCACGCCACTGGGCGACTGTCATGGAGGTTTCCTTTTTCACCGTCTTTCCAGGGCCATGCCACTGTGATTTTTCCACTGGAATCTATGTTAACATTCGATTTGAAGTGTTTCATAACTTCTTCTGTTTCATTATAATCGCTGCGGTCGGTAATTCCGATGCCGCTTAGGTCCATCATATCTTCAATAGTTTTATTGATATTTTGTGCTGTCATAGCACGAGTCATAACTGGATACTCCTGGTGAGCCCAGACTTGTCCGCATACAAGATGGCCTAGTGAACTAGGGACTGCCACCATCCCGGAAGGTAGGTTTATCACATTTTTTGGTCCATTTACAAATGTCCAAAATAGGTCCATGCCTATAAGCAATTGAGGTGAGTCTTCCTCACTCTCTTCTAATTTATCCTCCATTATACCGTTTTCTAGCATCTTTTCTCTATCTTTGTCCATAAGTTGTGGTTGATTCACCGATATGGTGATGCTAGGCGTGGTAAACGCTTTTATTCCTACCAATATGTTTTCTTTCGTCTCAATGTATAACTGCACCCGATCCGCGGGTGAGTCTATGGGTTTCTGACCAAAAAAACTGCCAATTTCAATGGACAGTTCTTCTGAATTATTTGGAGTTGCAGGGCTTCCGCTGCTTCCTTTGTTATAAATGTTGTGTCCGATCCTGTGTCTAGCAAGATTTTTGCATTCAATCCTATCTTTGGGGCTTCTGGTTTGTTCCATATTTTACCTTGAGCTATCATCAGACTGCACTGTGTGCTTACCATATTTTGTCTGGCATAAATGACTTCTGGTTTTCTAGGTGATCTCGTGAAATTGTTTACTTTTTCTTGATCTCTTGTACCGTTAAATTGGTTTCCTGAGCGTTGTTCTTGACTCTTTTGTCTATTGCAGAGTGCTGAATTGTGGGCACTTTTGCAGAACTTGCAGCTCATTTTCGAATAACAATCTTTCAACATATGTCCAGGTTTCAAGCATTTTAGACAAAGCTGTTTTTCCTTCGCTTTTCTTTGTCGAGCATTTCCGTCAGGCACTGTTTTACATTCGTAAAATTGATGATTGTTTCTGTCGCAGAAGACACACTTATTGTTATTTCTGAATTGGTTCTGCGGATTTTTTCCTTTTTCGTTGTGTTTCTGGACAGTGAAAGTGTGCAATGCCATTTCTTGACGCGAACTAGTTCCTCTATTGACCTTTTCTTGCATTGAAATTATGGATTCGATGTCATCTAGCATCATGTCGATATAACTGTAACCATGGCATGTGTGTTCTGCTTCTAATCTTGCTAAGTTGGTGAGTAGCCACTTTGGGAATTTGTATCGAATTTCGTTCAAAAATGGAGCTGAATCGACGTTCTGCTTTACGTTTTTCAAGCTGTGAATTAAGATAGCGCAGTTGTTGAAAGTGTTTCTGCAACTAATTATATTGTCTTTTGCATAAGGCAATTTTTTCAGCTTTTCCCACAGTGTGTCGAATTGGGTAGTTTCGTCTCCATATGTGTCATGTAGCCTTTTTATGACTTCTGGGTACGAATCTCCTGTCTGTGGGTATCTTTTGATGAGCTCAAGCGCTCTTCCTTTACAGCTGCTCAAAAGGGCTGCAAATTTTAGAATGTCAGCTACGTTTTGTCGATGAACTAATGTTTCAAACATTTCCCAAAATGGTAACCAATTTTCTTGTTCTCCATCAAATTTTGGAATTTCTAGTGAATGATTGTGGGCTAAAAGCTTTGTTACATCTACCGTAGGCGTACCATTGGTTTGGTTGTTTGTTGTCGACCTGCGTGTAGTGTTTTGCGTTCTATAGGGATTTGATTGAGCTTGTCTGGGGTTGGTGTTTCGAGGATTACTGTTCGTGGATGCTGTACTGCCTCCTGGGTCGTCATCATCGTCTGTTTCTGCTTCTACTGCTCTTGGGAAAGTTTCGTTTGCGTCTTCGTTTTTGGTTTTTTGTTCCTTCCTTCTTAAGGCTTCTGTTAGTTTTCTCGAAGATTCGTCCCATGATGAATCCTTATTTATCGCAAAATCTACGCTTTTCAATTGTATATCGAATTCTTCAGCGACCGTGGCTATTTCTGCGTATCGCTGTTTCAAACTTATTAACGTCTTGGATGCTTTTTCATAGAATTCTGTTATGATTCTGCCTGAATTGATGTCTTTTAGCACTTCTTCGTCAATTTTTTCGCTTGGAATTCTTCTTGCTTCTGCTCTACATTTCTTGACACACTCATCTAATACTTGCGCTTGTTGTTTAATTAGATCAACGTGAGTCTGGATACTTTCTGCGTCTTGTTCGATTTGGCTTACAATCTGTTCGCTGGTATGCCGTTTTGTATCGTATTTAGGAGCGGTCTTATGAGCATTTATCATGGAAAGACATTTTTGGCACGAGG